CGACACCATACCATCCGCGCTCAGACGGCATGATAGAGCGGTTCAACCAAACAATGGAGGCAATGCTCAGTCTTTGGTCAATAAGGCCCAGACAGACTGGGACCGACATCTGGCATTGCTCACCATGGCGTACCGGTCCTGCGAGCACGAATCAACAAAGGAGACACCCAATGCAATGATGCTGGGTCGGGAGGTGTCCATGCCGGTTGACCTTCTAGTAGGTGCAGGTGCCCCATCAGACGAGACAGGAGTGACCACCGACTATGCACAGAAGTTGCAAGGCAGACTTCAACTCGCCCACGAGGTCGCCCGGGAGGCCCTTAGCAAAGCAATGCGTTCACAAAAGATACATTACGACCGCAACGTATCTAAACTTGTGTACCGCGAGGGAGCCGTGGTTTGGTTGCACTGCAAACACCGGACGAAAGGTCAGTCTCCAAAACTAGATCTGCACTGGGCTGGATCTGATGTTGTGTATCGAGTTCAGAAAAGCCCCCATGCGACCCCCCCTTGTGGTACGTGCAGACCAACTGAAACCCTACTATGGAGTCACGAAGGAGGTTCACCGGGGCAGTCTTCCCCGCCGGGTCCTCTGCCGGGGCAGGCCAGCCTACTTCGCCGGGGCAGTTAACCCTGCTGACCCACCCTACTTCACCGGGGCAGTCACCCCCGTCAGTGCAGCTGGGCATACCAGGGCAGTCACCTCCGCAGGTTCAACCAACTTTGCCGGGTCAGCCGTCTTCGCCAGAGCAGCCTTCTTCACCAGGGCAGCCGTCTCTGCCAGGGCAGTCACCCCCGCCGGTTCCACGAACTCCGACCAGTCATCGTCCGCCAAAACCGCAAACTCCACACTTCCCACGCGCTGGAGCCCACGATAAAATCATTGGTACCCGCGATACCGTTGGTGGCCTTACGTGTAACGGGACAGCGCAAGTCGATGACAGTACTAGTCAGGGCACGCAACAACGAATACGACGGGGCAGAGCAGTGCGAAAGCCAGCACGGTTTTTGAGTAACATCAGTTCAACTGAGGACGGACTTTCTACCGACAGTGTGGCAGACGAGCCTACAGACTCCGCCTTGTTCACTTGCAAGAAGTGTGGAAAAAGCTATGCCAGTGAGTATGGCCGACGCCGTCATATGAGGGCAGCACACGAAGGGAAACAGTATGCTTGTCGAGTCTGTGGCAGTCTATTCCGCCGCCCCGAGTACGTTGCCTGACACATGAAGGATCATGGCCAGGAGGCCACATCAGGTGCCTGCGCTGGTGGCGACACCGAGCTTTCATCACCGACGCCGAGCGGGTCTGCCAACCAGGATCAGACAGCGCAGGTTCGGAGTTCTGTCCGCCGAATTACCAGTGACGAGACGGTAGGAGCTCACCTATACATCGATGGGCGGTGGTTCACGGCCCGCTCCGTCCACACCGTCGGTCTTACCGAGTGCGACCCAACAAGGAGAATTCAGCCCAGTGGACATGGCAGATGTGTCAGTGAGGTAGCATGTCAGGCTGAGCCGGTCTTCATGTGGTAGGAGTTTACCACCCGCATGACGGAGTCAATTGAGGACCAATGCTGAGGAACTTATACCATTCGCGAGACTGAATCAAAAGGGATACGCGAACCTGGTGACATTCTTTGGAAGACGTGGCACCGGGAGTCTTGACTCCCGGACAGTAACTCTTAGGCCCTAGTTGTTTCCTTCTAAATTCCATCATTCTTTTTCACGTTCTGGTAGTCACCAGAGATTGCTCACTACACTCAAAGAAGCCCATACTATGTTTCTGGATGAAAACCCAACCCATCACATTTCATTTTTCAAGTTTGCTGAACTCAGACCAAAACAAGTCCAGTTGCAATCCTTGAGTAAGGCAGGCCTTCAGATTCCAACTGATTTTCGCAGTTTTCTTACCCTGGTTGTATGTGACCAGAATAGTGAAAATTGCATGTCAGGAAAATGTGATGAATGCCCAAGGATAGGGAAACTTGCTCCTCCTGATGACACTGCTGAGAAAAAATAAGTTGGCAGCAGTGGGATGGGAAAGTAAATTGACATGTGTTCGAAGGAACTGAAGCAGACTGCTTTTAAGTACTCAAAGAGCCACAGATGAATAGAAGAGAACAATGTATTTTCAACTAGGCACAAGTTTGGATTATAAGGAGCTGTGGTTAACTAAAATTTAAACATGATTGGTACCTTACATACTGTACATGCAGTCATGTCCAATTGTAAGGGGCACGTTTTGAACAATCTTTCACAACACCCTTTCTTTTTCTTTTTGAGCACTACATGTACATGTACATGTATGTACAAGTCTCCTACATGTACTGAATACCAGTGCGACCATGCTCCAGAGGATGGTTCCACCCAGTTGACTAGAGATGGTCAACTACGGTAGCGTGTATTCGGATACATGTACATGTATGTACACATAACTTTGGTCATTGATTAATTCACTCCAGATACCTGCAGTGTACATGTTGGCTATCTCAATACTTCGGGATCATGCACATGATGCCAGATGAAGTTATTTGGCACACATGGTCAATCATATTGTGATTTCACAGCTCATTAGGTTATTCCTAATTCGTGGTTTGTAAGTATGTAATTTTGTTAACATGTTTAACGTTTACTGTTGGATATATATGGAAGCAAGTGTTAGCTCGCACTGAAGCAGGATTAGAAAGTTTGAAGCCAAGAAATATTCTTGAAGCAACTGCCTTGTTTCTGAACACAACTCGGGGTTCACAAGTTAGAAATTTCATGTTCTTTTCCAGTAAATTCTTGTTGCTAGGTACAAAAATTGAATTATCTTTCAGCGAGGCATACAGATGCATTGAGTTATGGTTTATTTTATATGATTNAAAAAAACAACTGCTTTTCAAGAATTGGCATTTTCAAGGTACATTTCACAAGTGTAATACCGTTACCATTTTTTGTTATTGTTACCACTGCCTCTTTTTGAAAAATGACCGAGTATGGAATATTTGTAAATATCAATACTCTAAAACTGCTGCTACGATAAAGTTGAAACTATAGGGAAAACAGACATGTTGTCTTCATGTTATAGATTTCAGAGGATTTCCGTTTCAAATTATGTTTGAAAAAGTTCATTTTCTGACGTAATTCTGTTACCGAAATATTTTGGTCCTTGGATCTTTCTACAAGTAGTACGTTTCAATCTTTTATTACTGGTATATATGATGGTAGGGCTATAGCCAGACCTCATTAAAGATATTGTCGTCAGGTAGTTCAAAGGACTAATTCATAGCATGGAAAATAACAGTCAATTTTGTTCTGAAATGTAATTCCGTTACCGCAGAATTGCCCAGTAACGCGTATACGTGACCGTGTAAGTACTCCCGTGGCCCGAGCCTTTCGGTGGATCAGCCCAGCCAAAACCCATAAAGGTAGACTTGTATTTGCCATTGGTCATGTGTAAGTTGTGCGCATCGTAATTTTTTATTAGGGACAGGTACGTAACCGTTGTCGTTATAATAAACAGTGCCTAATCCGTTTGACAAAGTGTCGCAGGTCTGTTTATACAACTTGTTTGAATCGACTCCATATAAAAGACACGTGTCTGTAAACTTCCGATGATCGTAATTATTGTGTAAAGCGTCAAATACGTCGTCGCTCGGAATGGGCATTACGCAGTCATAAAATTCTTCTCGTACCGTGTAATATACGTGGAAATTAACTAAGGCAGACACATATGGATCACGATCAGACTACAAATCAAAACCCACGCCGCAGGCCGTCGTCGCGCAATAGACCGCGAATTTAAATTGATTTTGATAAAACGAAATTGGCGCGGTCACCCAGCGATTGACGGCTTCGTCCGTGGTGACTTTTGGTAATTTATACGAGTGCGTTAAATTTGGAAACTCGGCGGTAAACAAGTTATCTTTGTTGACTATGATTGATAAATGACTAAAGTTGGCTCCCATTTATTTTATACGTCTTTATTTTTATTTTAAAGGAGGTGCCGTCGGTTGGGTCGCTCGATAAGCAGGTGGTAGATCTTGATATCGGACCGACTTTGTAAAACTTACTCGCCAAGTTTTTTCATAAGATCTTTTTTAAAACCACCGCCCATTCGTTGGCTAGCATTTCTGCTCTTTCGCTTACTTGTTGTTCAAATTCCTCTTTGCTGGTTGATTTAGTTTCTTGTAGTTTTGTAGACGTACTCGATCTGATCTTTTCTTTCATTTCGTTAAACTTTTTCAGTTCGGATAAAATCAATACAAGTTCCTCTTGAGATATGTCACCGTCTTAAAACACGTGTGATACGTATTCCTCAATTGTATTTAATTTAGCGTCTGCCAACATTTGAATTTGATTGTGCTTTTTGGTTTTGTGAGTTAATCGGCGAGTGGCGTACTTTAGCACCGTGTAGGCACTGAACGCACCAATAGCGATGCCTTCCATCACTAGTCCCACGGGTCCGGTAACGATGCCTAGAATTGCTGGAATGCCGACGGCTGCTGAGGTTGGGCCTAATGCTTCTACTCCGTATTCCACATAACCGACTGCGGTGAGTATACGTTATATCGTCATCTTTTTATTATATACGCGTTTTAAAGAATGTCTAACTCGATTAAAATTTGACGAAAGTGAGGCGGCGAGGCCAAATTTTGGGGTTCCTGTGTCACTCTCAAATTTCGGTTTATTGGAAATCTCCAATTTGCTCATGAAAAGACCTGGAAGTACAAAATTATTAATTCAAACAACCATGAATCTTTGGTTCCATAAATTAAATACCAGTTTCCATGATCAATGAAGAGTATTGCTGGTGCTACATGTAACTTCAGATGTAACATGCACATGCTGCGGATTTTCAAGGTCATGCATATACTGTACACGTACAATAACAAAGGTGGAGGTACACGTGCACACCACATTGCAAATTTGACATTCAACTTGCACCCTGCTACATACAGCCACCGCTATGACCTTATATTGGCTATTATATAACTCGCTATATACATGTAACTCACCAGTCGATGTAGCCAATCTGCCCCTAGCCTAGCCCCCCCAACCTTGCTGGTATAATTCAGCGAATCCACAGACCCATTCCAGGCCCAGAACCCGACGACTGCAAAGTTGTCTAGAAGTTTTGGAAAGGATCCAAGGTTGGCGCGAACGACCAATTTACACGTATATTCATGGGCACCGGAGCTTAACTGATTGCAACTTAATCCCTCTATTAATCGATCTGGACTATTAAATATCTACCCATTTGCATTTATCTATAACTCACATAACCGAGACATTAACATTTTATAAATGAATGCATTATTAAACCTGGCACTATCTCTCGTGTCCGCATAGCATGTCCAAAACACCAAGATTACTACACGGCAACGTACCGCGCGCGATTCATGGACAACATGAATAGCGCCCTCATGTGACTACAGAACTTAACAATTAGCAAACACCACATTATTCAAGAGCTCACCTCGATCGTTTTTAACAGAAAAAATCAATTCACTGATATTTCTGTCTGTTAACTTTTTAGGCGTTTTACACAGCATGGGTGTTGGGGTGTAGGGCTCAGTAGCAATCACGTATAGCACGTCTAAAGACTGCCCGTTATAAAAGTTGTCAAATGTATTTAATTGTTTGCAATGAATAAATGCGAGTTTTAAGGGGTTTAAATCATATTTGCCTTCATAAATAACGTTGGGTAAAAGTTTTATTTTGGGTAAGTTCAATAGCTTGGACACTTCTTTATTTAGTCACAACTTGAGATTGGGGTCAGTAATGGCCAAAGTCACCCCTTTAGATTCTGAGTGAACCTTAAAAGAAACGCCTGGGATCGAGTTTAACAAAAAGTCAAACCAGTCCATAATATAATAACCGGGAGATACCACGATGCTTCCTCTTTGACCCTCGGGTAATGGTTGAGATGAGCTTCGAGAATGAAGTCTATCGTATATAGGTTCTGTTAGCCCCGTCAAAAAAAGTCTTTTGGTCAATTCTCCTCTGGGTCTCGTGGGTTGTACGGGGAAGTTTGTTGTAGTTCCAGTTGGGGGATTCCCTTCATAAATTTCATCCAAGGCTTGTCTCTGCCCCTCGAGCAATGAAACTGATCTGACGTTTTTATCGTTGACATCATAAGCTAAACGAGCTCGCATTTCTGATGGTTGTCTTTGGTTCAACTGCTCTTCTAAGTTGCGATTTTGTGGTTTAGCTGCTCAATTTCCTCAGCGATGATTCTGATTTCTTCTGCTAAAGTGCCTCTTTTATTTGCTTGGATCAATCTGGTTTCGGCTGTTTTTACTAATTCTGAATTGGGAGATACTTCCGTTCTTTCCTCTGAGGGTATTCCAAGCGGTCGTATCCCACTCAATTTCAGTCGCGTTTAAATTTGTTACGTTAAAATATCCAGCTTAAAACTGAATATTCTTTACTCGGACGACTTTGGCGTTTTTAATGACATCTTTCAATTTAAATTTCTGCTCGCTTTCGGTTAAGTGAAACGTGTGAGTCTCCATTTTATTATATACGTTTTGAAAAATCTTGTTTAGCAATCTATAGGTTTTTAGAAATCTTGTTTGGCGAGGTTTAATTTGTCGAGGGCGTTTGTCCAATACTTATCCGAAACTCGAAACAGATCTGTTACTTTTAAATCGTCTTCCCCGGTTGCCTCTTGATAACATAACGCGATTAAAGCCCATCAACGACCTAGCTCTAGATCTCTTGCCATCTAAAACTCGATTTAACACGTAGTCTATGCGTGCCGATTGTTCACTGGACAATTCAATGTTAAGTTCTCTCAAAGTCTACTCTGATTTTCGTGGTGGTGGTTTTTCCCAAACGTGATGATGGTGGTATCTATCTCCCATCTCTTCAGGGGTGTGTGAAGGAACCCAAGCAATAAATCGTCCGCGAATTCGGCAAACATAACTGTCGTCCATTTCAAATATTTTGTGTTGGCAGGTGTCTTTAGGTGGTGACGACGGTGGTGGTCGTGGGTCGTCTTTTATACCGATTACGTAACAAATTTCTGCGTGTATCATTTTATTTAAAGTTTATTTATTTAAGGAACGAGTGACGTAAAAACAACCCCAGTTATTCCGAAGAATAACCGAGGTTCAATCGACTTCTAATTACGTGAGAAATTCAAATTCAGATGTACTAAACCGAGGTTCAATTGATTTGTCTAAGTTAATCGACTTTTAATTTCGCGGGAGATTCAGATATGCTAAATGCTTGCAATGCCGATTTATTTGAAATTAGTCCGTCGTTTCTAATTTTCAAAATTGCCGCTGTCACTCTATACCGAACGCTATCGCCGCAAGACAGTGAGCTGTTGATACCGTAGCATACGTCTTTTGGACAAATAAATGATTGCGCGTCGCATCTCTTATTGATAAATTTATCGATATTTGACGAGTCCATGGGTCTTTTCGGAGATCAAATAGGGAGGCATAGGGATCTGTTTTAACGTACATTTGGTTTTTAGCCGTATAAGGTGGTTTAACTACATATTCGAGCAGTTCAATTCATCGATATCGCGACTGGCTTTGTAAGCGTTTACGGTGTTAGACGGGAGATTCGACTCTTGAGATTCGATGAATCTGTAAACGGCCAAATTTATGTGATCGCGTAGATTTGTCGTAGGTTGTTGTATTTGATAGCAAATTTGTCGGCCTTTCATGTTTTCGGGCGTTTCATCTCGAGTGCCGTATTTGTAAAGCGGGTTTATGCCATAACAGGGTTCTATATCGTCATAATCAACAGGTGTTTATTTTGGCCGTTGTGGTGGTAAAAAATGGCCGAACTCCATTGACTCACGTGGGTGCCTTCTTTAATCACGGGTTTTGAAATGGTCAATTTACTCGGGTAAAATTAACAACAATCGGGAGGTATATAGAGAGGGATTTTTCTTTCTCATGTTGATTTTTTTTTCTGACATATCAGATAGGCGTATAATAGTATCACAAAACCAAATACAATTCCAGACTTGGGTCGAACCATAAAGGATTTGGGTTTAGACAGGCGTACATAATTCAGGCAGTGCGAAGCCCTGGAGATTTAAATTTACGCACAATCCGCTTGTTGCGTCATTTCTTGCAACAATTTTTGTAGACATATGAACAATAAATAACCTTAAAAGCTGGCAAGGACAACTAAGTTAATATTAATGAAGTAGTTATTTTATTCAGAACAATTTTTAGTGAACATACGAACATTAAACAAACATGATGTCTCTTTTCCCTATTCGCGATTGTGAAGTACACTCAGTGTGCCTCACAATTCTAAGAGTATAAGCCAAGGCCAAGCTGAAACAATATTATTCATGTATTCTGAATAATTATTGGCCTTTGGAATGAAACCAGCCTAGAAGAACACACTTATTTCAAAAATACTCTTTATTTTATACTCAATCTGCCAGTGAATATGAAATGCCCATTACATGCAAAAAATCCTGGAAACGTGCATGGGAGGGGAGACTGCGCTGCTAGTTCTCTGCTTGGTCCAGCCCATAGACATAACATTTTATGCTCATGTAATGACTCCACCCTACCTAGCCTACAGACATTCATACCGCCCCCTAGAGTTGATAACAAGCCAGGTTCGTTAATAGGGATTTTTTTTCTTCTCATGTTTGGAGGAAGTGCGCGTAGCATGCACAGCACCACCGGATCCGTACGTACGTACGCTTCTTTGCTGAAATGAAGTGACTCATCATCGTGCATTATATCCTGTATAGTCTCTAAAAGTGTCGCCTAAATCTTCCCATTCGTTTGACGAACTCTCTGAAATCAACATGGCAGGGAGCGGAGCTGCAAAATGTGGATTTATTCTCCTGGATGCCCTGGCATTGGTGCTCGGTAAAACACTTTTTTATTCAGTTGTTCGTCAAAACTTTGTTCACATGATTTAGGCCCCTATGCCCAACTTCATGAGCGTTAGGCGCACATCAAAATTCGGGGACTGTCCCTGTATTTGGAGAAGTCTTGGAAGACAGAATGTCTCCTTAAAAGGGGAGACAGCGTTTCCCAAGTGAGCTTAAGTAAACAATATTCATATGCCATTTTTTATTTTTCTCCGAAACTTTCAATTCATATTTAGTCATTTAAGTTGTTTTTATGAACTTTGTGCCGTGTCACTTGTCATATTCATAAAGAATTAATTAAAAAAAAATTGTTTTGATGCAGCCTTTTCCCCACCCTTTATGTGCCATTGCAGACTCCGGCTTGTAATCCCAGACGTAAACGGTAGAATTTTTTCTTTACGGCAGCCTTGGGTGTGTTCCTCTGCTGAATCCAATCATGGAGGTAGAATATGATCCAATTAAGGCATTAACAGGATCTCCAGAGCAATGGCAGGATCCCTTTGGCATGCTCACTTGAAAAAATATTGTCCCCATATAATGGAAATTTTCAAAGTACATGTAGATATTTTCATTATATTGTGAGTGAGTCAGACTTACCAGTCATGTAACTCTGTGTCGATTTGGCACCAAAATGAACAAAATTGGTCGAGGGGTTGTGGAGATACACTAATTTGTATTTTTTTTAAAAGCCCTTCTTCGGTTCAGTTTCTTAATGATAACTTTTGGTTAGTCGTGGCACCATAGAGGTTGATCGTTGCTACGTGCAAACAAACGTGTAAACGTTTTAAATTGCTAATAACTCTTCAACTTTGTACTGCATTTCCTGTCTTCTTTCTTTGATAGGACATCCAAGAGAAGACATTCAGAGTTGTAATAATTATGACGAAGTTGGCTCATTTGTTTTTTGTTACTGTTGCCATGGCAACTCCTATAATCTTCAGTTTGATTATACATGTAAATAATAAAAAAATCATTTAAATTTATAACATGTATTGTACATGACAAGAAATATACATATTTGTTTTGTTTTGTGCAAAAAGTATCCGAATGCCATGTTCTAGTGAGAAGTTATATTCAATTTATTTTGTTTATAAAAACTTTCACACTGTAAACAACCAAGTAAACAAATTCAAAGCAACATATTTCTTGATTGGCAGGTGCTGCAGAGCTTCTTTTTTTCATTTCTTGTGACAAAGTGTGGTTGCCTCCTTAGAAAAATGATGCCTCCATAAAGTCATTGTAATTTGGTCTGATAACTAAAGCAAAATGAAGTCAACATTGGAGCAGAATATTTAGCGATAGTTAGATTCTTCAATGCTAGATTGTGCGTAATACTGGTACATGTGTCTCTTTGCTAAATGGAAACTTTGTGCATAATATGAAGTTTTGGAAAGTCAGAAAGTGATTGAACCAGTTTTACACTGAGGAAATGAGGGGAAAGGGTATTCTAAATTAGCTATTGCCACAGTCAACACACAATTATGAACAAAGTAATAAAAAAAAATCAACAATTTCAAGCTCAAGAAAACTTCTGCAAAACGTTCTGCACAGGTACCATAAGTGCACAAGCTCCGCCACCACCCACCCCCCCAATTAATGTGAAACTACTGGTTCACCCCCATGTATATTGTTGTCAACATGAATATAAAGTGTATAATTTCTCAAATTTTAATATAAAAGAAACAAAATAGAAGGTTGGGCTTACATGAATGAAATCAACCTCAGTCCCTACAAAATCAATTTATAAAGTATGGGGTTCACAAGTACATGTACATGTACATGTAGCTGAACAGTTGCCCAAAAGAATCCCCCCGACCACACTTTGTGTTTGAATGTACATTTTTTTTAGTCAGAATTAAGAGGAATAAAGTCAGCAAATATAACAGTACTTTAACATTTCTCTTGAAAAAAAAACCCTGTAAAACACAGCACTTAGAGATGACCATAAAGCCATGACACCATAGACAAAATCACCCAAGGTAGTCTGTATCTGCCCATGTACGGAGGCACATGTGAGGCTACCCCCCGCGACTGCCATGTTGAGGGCCGCCCCACACTCAGGCCCAGTGGTGGCCGTTCGGAAAATCATAGTGCACTTTATCGCTCGGCGGTCAAATGCGCTCACACGATCTAAACCTCAATCTTTCTGAGGTGTTTCTGACCCACATTTTTCAAAAATGATTGCTAGTTTCTTTTTAGATGTACCGGAAAGCCCCTAAAATGCCACTTGAAATAATGCCCGTTTTTAGCGGATCAAAACTCCCAGAAAACTTCACGCTTTTTCGCAGAACTTTCAATGAAGAGTTCAGGCAACTCAAACCCTTTCCACAAACAATGAAAATAGTGTGGTCCCTGCGGCTAGAAATCAATCTTATTGCATCGTGTCTATACGGGGAGTAACGCGACCACGTTTTGTGCACAAAAACGATCCATGCGCACAACGCGTGCACAGTAGCCCATTTTGGTCCCTACATACATGTATACATGTGGAGGAGCATTCTTTCTTTCTGGGGACTGATTTTGTCCCCAAATGAAGGGACGGTCTTCAAGTTGTGAGGTACGCCTCTATTGGATTAGGGGCCTAGTTTGCGCATGGGAAAGAGTTCCATCATGCAGACAACTCTAATTTTCTCTTAAAATGTTATAACAGCCATCAAACAGTGATCACATGTCTTAAAAATTAATATTTAGCTAGGAAAATTCCCAAGCATTTACTTAGGAAACAGTTTTTTAGACATCTTCATAGGTTTTTGCACAGAGGCATCAAGTGTTATCCTACATGTACATGATAGGAAACTATTCCCTTTATGAGTCTATATTGTACATGTACTAGTATTGCATATTCAGATTTTACATGTGAGTATTAAATGTTGCTGTTCATGCTGTTAAGTGTACATGTACATGTATGTACATATAAGTGGGGTCTGACTTGGACCTCCACTGCACACCTGTATGACCTGTATAGAGTGCCAAAGTGAACGTGTCACACACACACTTCTGTGTGTAAAAACCATTAGCGAGAGTACCCGAGCGTGAACCAACGCGTCCGCGTACTCCATTCGTTTTTATAGCATCTACTGGTTCTAAATGACGTCACACTTCGACACTCAATAGAAATTTTACATGTACATGTACGCGCTGCGTGCCCACATAGCTAATGGCCCTAGAAATGTAGTTCCAACTTTCCTACTAATATGGTGTTCTATGAGAGGGATCTGTTTAAGTGGCCAAATTAAGAACTTGGCTACTTTTACAGACATTAATTGGGTGTTGCCACAGCCTCCAGCTGAGATTTTATTGTTTGTTGCCAAAGCAAGGAAATAACTAACAACAGTACAACTTATGTCTCAGTTATTTCTGTAGAAATACCAGTACAGCCTACTGTACTGAGACGAAGACCTTGAGAGACACGCAGTGCAAAAAAACAGTCAAAAACAAGGTCTTGCACATTTCACCTGCAAAGTTTGAGGTCAATTTTTTGAGGGAGAAGGACTTTTCCATTAGCCACAGTACACTGTATTACCATTTTCATTGAACATGTTTTATCCACATGTATACATATGCATTTTGTTCAGTTTGAGTCCTCTGGGAAGGTATTCCTGTTGTCCTCACACAAGTTGTTTGTTTGTCCTTCTGAACAGTTGCAGTACCGGCAATATTGTTCCGTATTCCGGGGCTAAAATTGCCCATTTACCAGCGAGGCTTCTTCTGCGGTGACGAGAGCCTGTCGTATCCCTACAAAGATTCTACGGTGTCGTCAGCACTGTTGTATTCGGTGGGAGTGGGACTTCCCCTTATTCTGGTATGTGGAATACCAGGATTTGCTGTACAATGCAAGAGGGATGTGGGTTTGTTGTTTCTCCACCTTTGTTTCCTAGCCATGGGCCCTGATTGTATTGTTCTCAGAAGAGGCTCTTGTTGAACGTTGAGGAGTCAAGTTCGAGGAAGTGAGCAGTATAGAGGAGTGTAGCTTGAACAATGGGCATGGGTTAATTGGTACCTACATGTACATGTATGTGTAAGGTCAGACAGCATTACAGGAAACTGCCTGTGGCTAATCTGGGATACCGCTTGCAAACTCTGACTTGACTGCCAAGTGTTAGCAACAGCTTCTTCTAAGAATAGTAAAGTTACCGGTAGGAGCCATGGCTTGGACAAAAAGAGGTTCCAAGCTGGCAAATTTGAAATTTATAACCCCAGGCTTGGCTCACACGTACACGTGTGAGCCAAGTATTTTTTCACGGTGCAGTTTTGTGTCTCCTAGCCAAATTGTCGGGATGGGAGCTTGCCATTTTGTCGACAGTTGCAAATGACAGCTGAGAGCTGAATCACCAGGGTGTTCAAAAAATTACATTCGTCAGATTATTGAATGTTGGCAAATTGGATACATGCATGATGGGAAAATTTACAAGTCTTCCATTCCACCTGCTGTACAGTCTAGTGTTGCCCTATGCTATTATACTTTGGACTCTTTCCCTATCTGATCTCAAGAAAATGTCTCTCACTTCATTTGTTGGTTTCATGACAGTCATTACTTTTTTGTTTTAGCCATGTCAAGCCTGTGTAGTTTTTGGTTTCATTCATTTTAGTTCATTCCATTCAAGAAGCAGGTTGCAAAACCAGCGTTTACTTTGAGAGGTAAGGGGGGGTAGGATTTATATAAGGAAGATGGTGGACGGAAAGGGTCAAGGTTGAACTGTCAGACACACAGGCAATCCCCTTTCTTTAACAGAGAGGACGACCAAAATTGTTCGTAGTTCTCGAAGGTTGGCATGGTGGAATAAGATAAGGCAGAGGGTTCGCGGATACACCATGTGGAAAATATCTCTTTTGAGTGTGTGTGGTTCTGAAAAGAACCGGTTACTCGACGTTTACAAGAGTTTCTTATTGAGTGCATTATGAATGGTACTAATGAGTTTACAATTTCTCTTTCTCAACACCTTTTCTTTTTTTGAAAGCGATCTTGGGCATTCATTAACATTGTACCTGTAAATTCTGAGTACTCCACAAAATGAGTCATGCACATGTACAGTATACATGTACATGTATATTATGCATTTGTAAGAATACACCTGCCTATGGAGCAGTGCACTCTCAGTCCAGCTCCATGACTCAGTGTACAGTACATGTACACGCACAGCTGTTCAGACCTTCACAACGCTGTGTTTTGTGCATCAGCTGTACTTCTGAGGGTTGATGGAAGTTTTGCTGGTTGCTTAAAGTTAAACTTTGTGGTGGTTTGTGCAGTTGTATATTAGCCAAAAAAGATTTTACTTCATTTATTGGGAGGCTCCCTTATTTCTAAAGTCAGTCCAACACTTACATACACAATAGATCATACATTGTACATGTACCTAGTGGACAGAAATATACTGCAATGTCATCCTAAGATTTCATTGGGCTTGGGTGGGAAAAGTATACCGGTACATGTACAGTTGAACCTCATTACTAAGAGGTCCTTGAGACTTGGCAAATTACCTTGTTATAACAGGAACCTTATATTATCAGGAATGAAAAATGAAGCATTGGGGCCCGACACTTTCCTTGTTATTAGCAGAATCTTGTATTGACAGTTCTTAATAGGGTGTTTGTAAAGGTACTTGTATATTCCAATTGGAGGACTCAGGACTGTTAAGGACCTCTTGAGGTTCAACTGTACCTGTATGCAAATACATGTACATGTATGCAAACATAACACTGATCATTGCAGTCATGGTTTGACAGATAACCAACTGGGAGGGGGGAATGGGTGCCCAGTTCCAGTAAAAGACATGTATCAAAGTCCACCCTTGGTGATTGAAGGTCAAAGATTTAGTTGTGCATTTGTGGCGTGAGTAGCTATGCACATTGAACAGGTTGACAGAGGGATATGAAAGATCAGAAGACAGGAAGACAAGGATTTTAGCATTAAGGATTCTGCCTTCATCTTTAATTTCTAAAACCCTTATAATATGCAAGGTTTTAGGAAGGATTCGGCAAAGGGCATTAACCATTACATGTTCACTGGATATTTTTCTATGAAGCAGCAGACCCCCAAATGAAACTGAATTGTACATATACATGTACATATCCAACATCCAAGGCATTTTCTCTGAGAACCTTTTAACTGATCCCTGAAATAGAACCCATGGAATATTATTATTATTATTATTATTATTGAGTGTTTCTGGTGATGAAACCAAAGATTCCCCAAAAGTGCCCCAGAAGAAACCTGTAGAGAGGAGATAGCAAGAGGATGTGCAGGGTTTTGTACATGTAGGTGGAAGGAAAACTCCAAGAAGTTGTGTTCTTGATAAAAATCAGAGTCAGGTTGATACAAAACCCAATCCACATGTGGACAGAGCTGGGAAATGAACCAGGCCCACTGAGGCAAAAGGTGAGGAAAGAACCACTACGTCAACCGAAATGTACATGTAACTCTTCCAGTTTGGGACAGAAAGGCCAGGGATGAGATTTGTCAGGATTTCTCCTGATTTCAGGATTTTGTCATCAGGATTTTCTTGATTTCAGGATTTTTCAATTAATCTCTTTTAATATGTGCAAAATCCCGAGTTTACCATTATGGTGTTTTTACATAGTTGATATATAAAACACAAGAAATGGGTTTTTAAGGATTGCCTGAAGCAAACATGAACGTATACCAGGCCCCGTGCTGCCGCGGGATCCTCAAAGCCTCTGGGGTTTATCTCATGGATATTTCATTTTCCTCTAATCTCACCCCTGAAAGGCACACTACACTGGAATTGTAGTCCAGGTGTTCTAACCTCAGTCCATATTACCAGTCAAACTTCTATCTTTCGCAATGGCAGATTCTACTTACAGAGGTGACCATCTTTGCCTATCGGCGTCGCCAGGACACCGAGTATCTCCCGCCGGGCAGCTTCAACCGCTGCTGCTGCGATGTGGTCATCCCGCCACTCCTCTACCAGCTCCTTAAGTACGCTGCCCAGTTCTTCTTTGGCTTCTTTGTGACGTTGGCTGTCTACGACATCTCCAAGAACGTGATCGGCCGGCTCAGGCCCCACTTCTTCGACATCTGCCAGCCCAACTTTGAGGGCTTCAACTGCACGGAAGGGGGACGACCCGTGTACGTGGAAGATTACGAGTGCCTGGGAGACAATGAACACAGGATTGAAGAATCACAGTGAGTTTTGCTCAGTTTTGTGTAACATTGTTCTTAGAAATAAAAAGAAATTGGGGGTTTTTGGTGTGAATTGAATTGACTGATTCCTAGCTTGATATTAACAGGAACTCCACTGTGAAATAATCACATTCGCTGTGATTTTTGTGTCAGTGGAAGTTCTAGATTAGTTCAAGATTTTGTTCCAGGATATGGGTGTTAACCTGCCTACTCTTCATTCAGTTAATGAATGGCATTAATACACCATTGCAAGGCAGGTTGAAAGAGGTCACATAAAATTGTGCAAAAAATGCAACCTCCAAAAAAAAAAGTCTAGACAAGATGACATAAGAACTCACTGGCGTTGGCAACTTCATATGAACAGTGGTGAGGTCATTGGTGATTGATATATTTTATTACGCTGTAGAATGGAAGACAAGAAATGTGTGTTGTTTCTCATTAAAATACCTTCGTGAACTGGTTGACGCCATCAGAGCCAAATAAGCAATTTTGAAGTTTGGCACCCGTGTTAAATTTGCTGTATTTTTACACATGGGTCTTGAGTTCACTTTGCTCATCCTGAGATAGCTCCTGCGTCTAGAATTATCCAAAAACACAAAGTTGCTCTGTGCTACTCTGTAGGGAAACAGTGTCTGACATTTTACATGTGCAACCATTTCCCGACTTCCTTCTCATGCTCAGAAAATTTTTTTCTTTGTTCTCCCTTCATCCTCAATCTGTCTCCACCCTCGGCAGTCGTTCCTTTCCATCTGGCCACGCGGCAACCTCTGTCTATTGCATGCTGTATCTGACGGTGAGTCACACCTAACGGTACCCTGTCCCCTCCGTATGTCTATGTACATGCACTCCCCCCAAGTGCTCTTTCCAGTGATTATGCACATCCTTTTTTTTTTTGGTGGGGCTTAAGCCTTGTTTCTTGTGGAAGGGAACTCCTAATGATCCCATATCCTTTCGGGGGGGGGGGAACTTGTTATCATTGTTCAGCCAATCCACACGACATCCGGGACTTCAGTCAATTTTTACTCTTGAAGTATGAACCGGGTTACGCTGTGCCCGAGATAGGACTGGGGTGTTTGTGCACTCTGTTGGTGGATCCCAATTATAAACAACTGTCGTTTAGCCAATCTGTAATTCTGCTATTTAGCTTCCGTGGTGTCCACCTAAACCAGAGCTTAAGGAATTTTACCTGTTTTTAGTTGACATGAGAGTTTCATGACCCAACCTGTCATGTGGTTGAGTTAGATAGGACTGTCATATTCTTGGGAAGGTGGGGGAGAGGGGGGGGTCACTGTAGTGCGTGAGGCTGCTGTGGCTGGTTGACACACTTGACCTTTCAGGGATGTCAAGGGTGACATATGAAAGGAGAAAAACCAGCTCATCAAATATCAGGTGGAAACAGCGATGCCTTACTCATCAAACTCTTACAAAAACCTCTGGCCATGGAAATAAAAATTACAGTTCCATGTCTTCTGTCAAACCACAGTAATGTAGATATCCCCTCTTACCCACTTCAATATTTGGCAGAGACCCTTGGTACTTGAAAAGTACTCTACTACAATGCTACCCCCATGTTACAACTTCATCAACTGTAGAACGATACATATTTTTTTATAATGGGAGTGGTCAAGACTGGTTTCCTCCACACATATGAATGGAGGGAATGGGAACCAGTGCACAGCTTAACTTGTATGGTATACAACTGACATGTAGCTTGCTGGCATGCCAACATGTCCGTCTTTTTCACAAGGAGATCAGTAATAACTCCTAACCAAATTTGCTTAGCTTTTTTCTTCATATTTTGGGCTTCTTAAACAAGCGTAGACATCTTTTGTCGTCTCCTCACAGCTGTATCTCCAGTCACGTTGGAAGTGGGGCGACACAGCCTTTCTGCGACCCCTGATGCAGTTCATTGCCCTCCTGCTGGCTCTCTACACCTGCCTAAGTCGCATCTCTGACTACAAGCACCACTGGAGTGATGTGCTAGGGGGCGCTGTCATAGGTGCAATCATCGCAGTGCTCGTGGTAAGAATGAAATCTGTGCTAAATCCCAAATGTTCATGTTTTGCCTGTGACGTAGAATAGATCATACGTTATTTTTGCAGTACTAACATGAAATTAGCGACTAACTTTTGTTCCCAAATTCAGTTTTTCCCAGTGAGCAAACTCTGATTTGTTTAGTTTTAAAGTAAATACTTACTTTCACTCCTTAATTATAAATCTTTCATGTAGAACAAATAATAGCAGAAAGTAGCCATTGTTTTTCTGATTTAGTCCCCCCCCATTTTGGGATGTATCCCCCATTTTGGGGTGTGTGTACAATTTAGTTAGTAGTTTAACTACAAGATTCACCTTGTCTAGCCTAACTTTGTTGCACAGGGAATTCATAAAGTCCTTTCCTCTAACATGCCTGAAACTATTTCAGCATGCCTGGAACGTTACAAGTTGCACATCTTCATTCCAAAAAAAAAAAAAAATTGACACCGTTTCAGTTAGCCCACAATGACCATTTTATATCATTTGACAGTAAGATTGGCATTAACCTTTTCTATACCCGCAGTATTTTGGTGTCAACCCCCAAAAGAAAGGTGAGTTGACTGTGCTTTGCTGATGTTGCTCGTGTGAGGCCTGGATTCCTTTTTCTTAATGTCTTGTAACCGTGTGCCATGTTCTTAAGTTGCTACAGTATATATGTTAGTGGTTTTCAGTGATTTTCCAAAAGAAAAAAACACTGCATGAATTAGTGTGAGGAGCTCAGTGATTTGGATACTATGGGCAGCTACAGTGTCTTCAAGACCACAGAACGAGTCCATTCCTGCAGGAAATAATCCAATAAACAAGGACTGTGGGACCAGTCAAATTGACAGATTACCCCATCAGCATATTCCACAGGGTCAAAAAACTTTGTCCCATACTTCAAAACGAAAAAAGAACAAAGCCTTCTGTTAACATTGGCACGAAGTTGGTGTACATTTTGTTGTCCTTTCTGGACTTAGTGGACTATAATTGGATTATGTTTAAATTCAGTGATTTCATTTTGCCTTTATGCATGTAGATAGTGAGCCAACATTCCATGCTACATGCACCATACATGTACCATCGTCTTCCCGTACATACAGTCCGTGTTTTCGCTTCCTGTACAGTGAATTAAATTATGTATACATGTAACTCAGGAACTGTCTTCCTTCTGTCGAGAGGCAGTTGAATTTGACTGCCCATAGTTCCTGACACTGTTTGGTTTTTATGTCCAGATTTGGAAACGACCTTTTCGTTGTGAATGTTTTCATGCGCTACTCAATCACGTCCTTGCCATGTGATGCAGATCTGCCAACTCCCTGAATCACAGAACTGTTTTCTGAAAATTCAGAAGTCATATTGTTCATGAAAAATCGTATTTTGCAAAAAGAGCATAGGCCTATTCCTCCACATGATCGTTTTGACCACTTGTCTGGATTGGGTCTGGTCTTAGTAACTCGGACTAGATTGCATCAACACTTCACCCATAATGTAATCACACGAGAAATGCTTTATCAAGGTTGAAGACTGAAATTTCCAACCTGAAATGATCACGTTTTTCAAAATTTGAAATCTTGAAATGCACATCCCATGTCCAGGATTTTGGAATTTCCTGGCGCAGATCTTGTCGCCTGCTCGTTGGCCGGCCGTAAAATGTCTCAATCCTTTATTTCTGCAGATTTCTAACTTAAGGATTGATCTTGTCAAAGATTGCATCCAAATCGGACCCTCTTTAGACAAGTCATACACAGGTGTTGCACTGATATGTTGATGAGTCTCTGTCCAAAAATTGTTTGAAATCTCGTAAAAAACGACGCACACAGAACCTGTAAAAGCTGTGCAATAATGTACGACACAATTTCCTTTGCCCAGCACCTGTTGCCACGAGGCCCTCTATCGTGTGAAAGCGGACAAATTAGTAACCTTATTTCAAGCCGCATATTTACGGTGGTTGTGAAATGTGCGCTACCTAAACTACTGGAGATTGTCATTACTTCCACTGACGCACAAGCAGCTTTAAAGAGTCCCACTAATGCAACATGAATATTGATATTTCATGGGCAGCCAATCACAACATAATGTTGGATGGTTGCCAGATGCTTTATACACACAAGGTTTGTTCACGTGCGTGCATATCCTGTAAGCACGTACATGTACATTGTACATGTACATATGAGACTATATTTATAGCATAACATGCACTTTTCAACTCACAGCAAGACTTACCCTGTTTTTAATTATTTTTTTAATTTTGCGGGGGGGTGTTGTTTCGTGGCCTTGAATAGCTGTAAACAAACTTTCATTCACTAAATTCAAGAGTTAGCCTCATGTCTTGTCGGTATTCCATTGCAAACTCACTTGCATCAGCTGTCATTCATCGATTGCTAGGAACAGCAACAAGACCTAAGCTTAGCAACTCTTGGGCATTTCTCACATTTCTAGTTATATTGTTCACAGTGATGGTGTAGATTTGTACCTTTGGTCCAGCGACACGTCTTTGTTCCTTCTTTACCCTCTCCTCCCTGTATCCCCAACCTACCGGTACATGTAAACCCCTTTCCTTCCCCCTCCCCATGCAGAGCGTCGGAGCAACGGACCTCTACCGAAACCGCAACATAGGAACATCCAGTCACCACAATTCCGAAATGGTCTTCATGGAAATGAACCCACGTTCGACTCGTAACAAGAACGACGGCTACCTCTGAGGCACGACGCCGTTGCCTAGTGATCAACTGGAGAAGAGATTGGAGTATATTTGTACCCTTTTTTGGTGGTAGTGGTGGGGGGAGGGAATAAGGCAAGCCTTCAGCAGTGGCTTGACACTGTGTACTTTCTTGGGGTTTGGGGCTGTAAACTATGCCCTTGAATGGCTTAGCATCCGAATTAGCATGAGGCCACTGTGAGCGACTTGAAATGCCAAAAAGTCACGCTAATATGGATTAAAGGATTTTACTACTTACAAAATAAAAAAAAAAAAGCCCAGTCTTAATGAATTACAAAGATAACATTTCACAGAGCTTTCAAGCAGGCAACGTGGGCCGAGTTTTTGGATGGTCTCTTTGTGACATGAGTTCCCTACTCATTGGCCAGAACAGGCAACGTTGGAACTCTTTGGCCATACTAGTAAGTATCAACTGTAGAACAAATATACACAGTGCACAGCACATGTCCCTGTGGGATTTGCCAGACTATGGTGCTGGATCTCAACCACACAAATGATTTGGTGCCCACTTTTGTTTTCAAAGAGTGTATGAGCCAAAGTCTTATTTGCACTGTTATTGAAAACAAAAATTTCGTCAAAGCCCAATGCTGTCTCAGAGGCTCTGTGATTTCCATACAGGCCCCATGCTCTTTGAAATCAAAGGTCGGGGGCAGGCTTGAACAGGGGAACAAACAGGATAAAAGCAGTTCCTGAGTCACAGGACCCACGTGCCGTTCCACATTTGTGGATGTGGCATAAGAGCCTTCCTTTTTTTTTCTGCGATGTGCAGTTTCTATTGCCATTACAACTCAACTTGTACATGCGTTCGCAAAGGAAAGTCTTACCCTGCACGTCGCTGTCGGCCCAATTTTGTTAATGTTTTCAAGGCCTGGGATTAGTTTGGATTCTGGATACACACTCAGGAAGGAATCCTAATTTTTCCCCAAGGTCTGGTGGAGGCTTTTTTTGGTTTTATTTATACGTCATGTATTTCCACATTTGTTGGAATATAGTATTAACTGTGTATATCTATGCCTGAAAGGAAGAAAAAAACAAAACGGAATGCATGTACAATTCATTAGAGTTATCGCTATTTTAAGTATTTTAGCTCTGTTTAATATTTTTAGGAATGCTTATCACCAACTTCAGAAAATGCTCGCTTTGAGGGCTGTTGAGTTATGGATGCGTTAGTTGGCAATTTAATCGTATTGTAAAATCATATTTTATGTGTATTTGCTTGACAATTTTGAAACGTTTCTGTTCAAAAGATTTAATGGTTGGTATTTTAATGGCAACCCAACCTGGGATGGGCCAACTGCCAGTTAAGGGGACTAAACTCAAATTTACCTAATACATGTTTAGTTGGAAAGAGTTCCATATACGGATGCCAGTAATTATTCCCTACGGTGACTTAATAGCCATCAGAAAGCAAAAATACATCCAGAGAAGTTCAGTTTAGGAGGGACAGTACCGAGTTGTTTACTCAGAAAATACTCAGAACTTTTCAGACCAGTCTCAAGGGTTTATGCAATGGGTGTCAAGCGGCGTCCGCATACGGAACTCTCTCCGTATATTTCATGATTATAACTCACCAAAAAAAATAAAGGGCAAAATCTATATACAGTTTCAAACAATTAGAATTCACCAAACATGATTAATCCACAGGGAGAGCAGGGTACATGTAGTTCTAATAATAGCCATGTAAATGCAAAGAAAAATAGTTACTGACACAGCAGAGAATGTGCCAATAATAGCCATGTAAATGCAAAGAAAAATAGTTACTGACACAGCAGAGAATGTGCCCGTGGAAAGGGGCTGACTACGGTCAAACAATATTGCAGTCGGGTCTGCAGGGTTGTCGCTACATTGGCCAGCACCGGTCGGTGCTAGCCACCACTCAACATTACCTGCCAGCACTGGGAATGGAAATGAAGCTTGCCAGCCAGCACAGATCACAATGTATATTAATTATGACAGTTTTTTACCATTGGGAGAGAAAATGGGCTCTCATTGTTTTTTAAATTTTCACAAACAGCCAGCACTAAACAAAAATCCTAGCTACAACCCTTCAAGTTGTGGTAGCAAAATGAAGGAAAGGTAAAAAGAGTATTAAAGTTGGAATATACTCACATTAAGACTGCTCAAGCCGGTGAACCCTTCCAGAAAAATGCTGCCGGTGGGTGGTGGTGATGCTAAGTAACAAATGTAATACATTGCAGCAAACCAAGGCAAACTCTCTAAACATAGAGAACAAAATCACACCACCACTATGTCCCAGTCATAAGTCCATGCCCTACTGGCCTAACAGGCAGCTTTTTTAGGCCTGGTTACTATAATTTAAGAGGAATGCTAAGCAGGACTAGACATGTTTAAGGAATTCACAGAACTCCTTAATGAGCTAAAGAAACAGTGCATGTCTCAAAGGCACAGAGCCAGGGAAAAGCTCCACTGTGAAGAGTGAGGAACAAAGGTACATGAACAATAGATGCTACACAGTACTGGGTCAAGACACCAATCCAACTTAAAGGTGCAATTGCATGGCTTTAAAAAAGGAGCAACTGACTCCAGTTTTGATACATTATAAATAGAATTTATCGAGCTGCTTGCATCTGGTTGATTTTATCTCTTTATGATCAGGAAAGCAGGTCAGAGTGATGTACACTTGACTTGACAGACTCCATCTCAGAATTTGGGGGCCACACTTGCCCATACTTGTCAGGTTATTGTCTTATTATTGATGCACTTTTAGAACTTTTGATGAACTTTTTAACACCAAAGTCAAGTTTTGCCTGATAACTCCTAAACACTGTGCACTATTTTGTCAAATCAAACACAATGTTGGAACTACAGTTTGTCAACTTTTTTCCCCTGAAACAAGGACAGATGCCTCAGAGGCGTTTTAGTGTGGCACAGGGGCCTTTCTACTGTCTACCCCCACCATTGACAGTAATATTTTACTCCTGTGTGATGTTAACCTCAGGTTTCCTCTTCAGTCACGGGGTGGGAGACAGGATATGCCAAGTTTCCTCCTTTTTTTTTGACGATCAGTGCTGTGGTTTAGACCTGTTCCAGGTGAGCGCCATTTCAAAATGTCAAGAAAACGTCAAACAGCTGCCCCTACCCCACAGCCTTGCTGTTTATAAAGGGCTTCTTGTCCTCCTTTTCAGCAACAACAAATTGAAAAGGCTCTTTATGTCCTCTTTTCAAGAATTTAACAAAGGGCTTACCTAGGTAGAACAAAATATGCTACCCTCAATTAAAGATGTTGCTGTGCATAAGGCTAGCAAAGCCTGGCGTGGTTTTTTTCTACGATAAAGTCCCTGTGTATACCAGATATCATCTCTGGTTTCAGACTGTGTCTTTTTTTGTCAAAATCCAGGTCTGCTTCTGGGAAGAAAGTCTCCTGTTGCTGTCCCTTGTTGAGCAAAACACCTCACAAGAAATGATTCTCATTTTGTGCATGGTCTGACAACTAACTGGTGCATTGATACTACTTTAAAATAATGTTCAAGCTTTGAGGCAGTGAAATGGACTGAAATGGTTACATTTTAGTATTTTGTACAAATTGTTAAACTACCAATTTTTACAGAGGAAAAAGCAACTGTTGTACACTGTCCATGCTTTCTGAATTGAAATTTTGTGCATTATGCCGTGCTTTTGTGCACCAGAAAAATCACCTGTATATTTTTAAACTGCACTTGAATGAAACAGCATGTACATGTACATTTTATAAGCATGTAATTAGTGTATACACACAGTTTTTGAAACCATGTTGAATGGTTGAGATTGATATATGAATGTGCCTGATAATTGTGTAGAATGTAAATTGTGTTCCATACATAAATCTATATTATACTTAGGAAGTGTACACACTGAAACTATTTGAAGTCATATATGTCAGATTGTTCATTAAATCATCTTATCCATTGCATTTATTTATGGTTGAATGTTAGATGTATCCCAGTGGAAACAAAAGAGGGTGTGTTTCTAAATGATATTGACAGTCCTTTAGTATGAACTCACCACATAGCCATGCAAGTTTATTTGCATCTGACATGGAACACGCAAGTACGCGCAACGCATTTACTCTGGTGTGTATGGGCTTCGCATACACGCGGAACATGTGCAAGAACCCAGTTGGTAAACTTTGTACCAGTCTGTCTCTTTTGGTGGATTACATGTATGTTCAAGACCAATCCAGTAAAGGGTAATCAAAGATTAATTTTTTCCTCACAAGACATCTGAACAAAAAGCCTGGACCTCGCACATTAATAGACAAAACAAAGCTGTTTTTTTATTTACTGAAACCAACTTCTTTATCTGTACATATTAATATATACATATATATAACTTAGAAGAAACAATGTACACATTGCGTTAGTGACACATGGAAATAATGGACTGTACATGTCTTGTTGGCTGCATGTATATGTACAGTGTACATGTATTTTCAGACGCAAATGAATTGAGAGGCCAAATTAAAAAAAAACACTCCTCAATCTTCACACACCTGTACCAATGATTTCATGGTACATCAACGAAGAAATGGCAGATCTTGCAAGTGATTCATCTTTTCCTGTTTAGCGCAACACTATCAGGGATGTCACAATCCTTTGCATTTCTCATTGGAAAATGTCCTTGACACAGATGATGTGACCTGTGATATTTACAAACTGTAAAAGTTACGGTTCCTGTATGGAGTCCTGCTACTTTCTCTGCTTACACGGTAAGGGCTTTTATCTAGTGAAGGTAAAAAAAACAACAGTCACATCATCTGCAGCTTACCAACTGATACAATCCAAAATACTGGTCATTTGCTGAAAAACCCTCAACCAAATAATATGATAGTTGTACAGGGTGTCCCCATAAAAAGTATATCGAGATAAAAATTACATTAAGATGTCAGACGTGCATTGACAGGAATGGTGGCCATGTGGAGGGCACAGCGCATAGAGTAGCAAAAAGGAAGCAGATTAGATTGATTTAGGTACATTCCTTAATTTCAAGAATGTGTTCTTAAAGCAAAGGCATTTGGTATTCTGCACACTTGCATGGTTGAGCCTTACTAATCAAATATGCAAACTTGTGACAGTGCCAATTTCAGTTCTAGTTTGTTCATTCATCTGTGTCAATAACATCACAAGCTGTATACCACTGCAAAGAGGGCAATCTGCCCTTTTCAGAGATATATTTCTATTCCCCGTACATGTATATAAAGTAGTGTTGCTATTAGTCATTTTTATCTTGGCATACTTCTTATGTGGAAACCCTGTATAAGGCAGATTAGCAAACAATACTTTGGTAGCAAGAATTTATGTGGGCCTACATTTATGCATGTGTGTGTCCAGTTCATGTGTGTCAACATGTCAACAGTAAATGCTCTGTAATCAGCCAAGATCCTGAACAACTTGGCTGTAAACTGGGATTTCATTGACATCTTGAAGACATTCATGACACCTTTCAACGACAAAAATATAAAATATTTCAGATCCACAATAAAAGTGGGCACTATGGTAATATTTCATCTTAGACAACAGACCAGACAGTTCTGATGTTTGACATATTCCGCATACAATTCTTTGCTATACATGTGTATGTACTGTACATGTACTCTGCAGAAAATATAATACGACACCTTGTTGACTTGCTTTTATGAGTATACATGTACATTCCAGGAACAAACATTTTATAACATCCAGCTCAAGGACAGAACAACACAAAAAAACAGAACCTGTACACAAGTAGAGTGCCTCTTATATTGAAGAATGAGATAATAACAGACACTTGTGAGGGCTATTTCTGCCTATGCCAATGTTCAGATGTGCTCCTTTGTGATGATATTAGAAGTTTGGATGTACCCTTGGCAAAAACTTGTTTGCGTACTGCGCATTAAATGTGTGCCCACACTAACTTTCTTCAGTAAACCTCACTAGGCCATGTAATATTTCTGCAAGGAATTCACCAATCAATCCTTTAAACTTAGGCAGGCATATTATTTTCAGTGTTGCTGTACATGTAATATGGATATCATGCCATAATTCATGCATTTAAAACATTGGCTGTAGAACGTGACGAGCACACATGTAATTACATGAACAGCCCAACCTCATTAATGAAAGCACTGTTTATAGAACATTACGGTTATACAGAAATTTTTAAATCCCAATCCTTTGTTCTTGATTGTTTTCCTTCCTGATAATACAAAGTTCCTGTTAAACAACGTAATCTGCAAAGTCCAAAGGACCTCTTGTTAATGCGGTTGAACTGTACATGCCGTCCCCACAGTTTTGAGGGAAATACTTAACCCCCCCTTCATCACAATCCCTTCATTTTTCAAAGATTTTCTGATCAGGTATATAAAATTAATTCAAAGAATAACAGGCAGTTTGAAGCACCACAGCACTGTCCTTGCTTATAAGTTTGAAGATAAGATTCTAATACATACTGTTTGATCATGCGAATGAGCTAGTTCAACCTTTAAACTGTCATTGCTTCTGAGCCCAAAGATATTGTATTTACAAAGAAACTAGGTGCTCCAAGTGCATGTACATATGTACACAAATCAACATTGCAAAGTGACTGCAGCAAAGTCAACTGGAAACCCAATGTACTTAAAAAAGTTCAAGAAAAAAAAATGAATATTGCAAGAACACTGGGTTTGTGACTGTTCCCTTGATCTGAAACTTCACTTTTGGCTCGCTTTTACAGCATGCTGGAACATCTTGTGTTGGTGGAATGAAACTGCAAGTGCAAAACCTATTCTCAATTCAACAGAGTTCAATTCTCCATTTCCAAGCATCTGATTGCAGTTGACTCCGCTGTAATACTGGAATACCAGTGTGGAGTTTTTACAAACAACAAAATTTCACTAGTTCACTCTGGAGGACGTGAAAATACCATCTGGCTAGGCACATTCACATGCTAAGCTGACATGTTAAATTGTTAAGACTTGTCACTCAAGTCTATGGCAGTGGACATAGGCTGTTTTCTGCGGTTTTGTCACCACTGTCACCACTGTGGCTGCCACCTTGTCCCCAGCAGTTACTTCATAAAAATCACTTCCAGCTTGGCTTCCATGATAGTAAATCATGCATAGGACGCTTTCTTGCTGTATACTGACTCGAAACGGCAGCAAGGAAACAATTTGTACAGTATACATGTACATGCATTTATATGTCAACGTGCATTACGTGTTTCGCTTTTGAAGTGAATTGTTACATCCACTTTCCTTGTCAAATAATTCCCACTTTTCCATTTTGATTATATTGATATGAAGTGTGACACTGCATATCAGCTGGATCAGATTTCTTTTTTTTTTGTCTTTTGAAAAAGAAGCAGTTTCTGATAAATCACGTTGTGAAGAACTAACGCTGTTTTTATACTGGGCAATGTGTACTACAACGGACACTGGTTAAAAGCACAATCAGGCACCAGACTATTTCTCACTGATGTACTTATCCACAAATTTTGGCTATGCAAATGATCTAATTGCCAGGACAAGAGAGTGGGTAGCCTTGGGGGTGCACTGCTGACCCCATGGGTATGGGGTTGCTCTGACCGGGCCTTGGAAAGTTGCACAGTACAAAGGAAAATAATGAGGTAAAGCATAATTCAGGTGACTCTGTCAAGTCAGCATTTGAAGGTGTTTGACTTGTTGCCATTCATTTTCAAATACTGTCCTCTTATGTGCGACATCATCCCGCCAAATGTGGTTAATAAAGGACAGTTAAAAAATTAGGCACTATTTTCAGACTTCCAAGGAACATACACATATATACATAAACATTTCTGTTCAAACCCAGGTGAAACCGATTTGCATGTCTATCATCGATTTTTGAGACTTGCAAAAACCCTGTTTTATGGAAATTTGGAAAGTACAAGTGCACCAGCATCGCTAAATTGTTAGAATACTGGATCAATACATCTGCAAGTCACATAGAAAGGTTAGAAAATATCTATTTACATGTATACTACAAAAGCAAGGAGAACTGGATAAATTCACCCCAGGAAAAATGCCCCTCTCCCTCAAAAAATATTCCTATATCATGAATGGAGAGTCCCTTTGAAACAGCAACCAGTAGTGAAATTAGAATGGAAAAACCTCAACTGAATCATGTGACCTGCTCTTTGCGTAACACGAGACTCTTTATAACCCCAGCTTGCACATGTCCTTCTCTTAAACACAGACACAGGTAAGCATGAGTGCGGTAATCAGACACACTGAGTGAGTCCAGCTGCTTTTAAAGGAAGAGTCTGTCTGAACACAGAAGGCAAGCTCCGAAATCTGCATTGGCAACAATTCCTATTACTGACAAAGGGCATTAGGGAAGACCCCACTTTCTAAAGGAGGGGGTTTAAAAATGGCAGGTCCTTTGCCAAATCTAAGGAGGAGGCAACAGGTTAATTTTTAGCTAAGCAGCTACTCAGAAACAATTTCCTCAACAAAATGGATCCGTCCATACAAAACAACCTCCATTTACAACACTTCATGCATGTATGTCCCCTCTGATTGATTACAAACTCCTTTGGTTTTTGTATTGAGGGGGTATTCCGCCCTTGATGAACTGAAACTGACACGTCTGCCAATGATCTACTGAAACTGCCTCAGACCAGAGGATACTTCAGACATTCTACACTTGCAGCGTTCCAAAGATTATCAATGCACATAATCTACAGACTTGAAAGAACTCTTGACATGGGTAAAGAATTTGCAAAACATTCTGCAGTAGAATTCATCCAAATAGCCAATACTGAAAAAAAGGGGAATTCCCCGCAGAATGTAAAATTCCTGTACCATTCTCTACAGGATAGGTATACGTGCAGGCCTTATCCCTAATCTGTGTATAACTAGAACACTCTAGCTATTGACACGATACTTCATTATTACAGTCTAATCCTACTGTGACAGGAAGCATTCAGAAAATACTTGCAAACCTGATGATGCTGCTGACTTGCTGCAGGAAAGATAAGGTGGGAGCACAGGGGGGCATTATCGTCAATTATAAACATACCATGGTTCACGTGACCCTTGACCCCTGACTCTGAACTGTGACATGACGGCACCATTCAAAAAGGCTTCGTAAGGCATTAGCATAGGTTAGAACCTTGAACCCTGAAGAAGTTGAGAAGTGTGTCCAATTCAGCAACCTGGAAGGGAAAAAAAATGAAATATTGGGATACTCCACCTGTCTGGGTGACATATTTGAGATAGACATATTTTCCCTGAATCTGTCAAAAATGCATGGCTGCAATCCATTAATGATTATTCTATATAATATGGCTACATTTCTGCAAACTTGTTTCCCTTAACTGATGGATTACAAAACATTGAACACCTGATAACCAGATCTGAAAATAAATCCATCAAGAAGGGAAAAGGGAATCCATGTCACACAAAACCAATAGATAGGGTTTCTAATCCAAAGCAAGGAGTTAGAAGGTAGCAAGATGACTTATCAGCTAAGTACCGTAATTTTCAGAATATAGGCAGCGCAGAGTATAAGCCGCACCATGCAAAGATCTGCAAATTGAGATTTAAAGTTGGCATATTAGCCGCACCACGGTAGCAGCACCATCGTACTCACGATGTCCAACACGCAATCTTCAAGTGAAGCAGCGCGCGAAACGAGGGTTGCTATTAAACCTAAACTTTCTTAAGTCCTTGGAATTACCAATTTTGGCGGGCTGGATGAGTGTCCTGGCTGGGCTTTTTCAACAGTCATCAATTGATCAGTGAAATGATAAACAACATGGATTCCACAATCACAAAACAGAAAAAAAAACTGAACGCATCACATGATTTTAGGTGTCAACAGTACTTATGGTACATTTAGTCTATTCAGTCCCTCTGGACTGGTTTCTTTTATTTCCAGCACGTGAGTAGAGCGAACGTAAACGACGACCAAAGAAAACATGACTGTCTTGTCCCCTGAGCGCCGCACTGCTTGCACGCGTGGCTGGCCAGCAGCCCAGGCTAGGCTGTGCTGAGGCACGGCGTAGCGTCAGTGACCGATTTCATTCTTCAAATGTTGCTGTACAAGCAGCTACGAGTATAAGCCACAGGGGCATTTCTCAGCGTAAAAATCAACGTATAAGCCGCGGCCTGTATTCCAACAATTACGGTTGGCATGCACGGCACTTAACTTCACCTAGACTTGGACTGTTCACGGTTTGCATGCTTCAACCACTGCTTTATTCTTTACATGAAAAGCACTTTCACTGGGTGTTATCATGTACATGAGGCTTATAATTCTATTTTGTAGGAATGTCAAGTGCCAACAGGTTGGCCCAAGGAACAATCAGTCATCACATGCTCATTTCTGCATTTGAACTCTCAGACAAGGCACAGCCAGTGTTGTAGCAACAGGGGGCTGGGGGGGGCATGTGCCACCCCCCACAAATTCCTGGTGCCCCCTACCCCCTGATGAATTGATATTGAACACTAGTAAAAATCCTAGCTATGCTGCTGGGCACAGCCACACGTAACACATAATCGGAGCTATTCAAATGCTTTGCATTCTCAGTAAAATCCGAGGATTCAGCGTACTGATGATGCTAGACAGTTTCTCTTACACAGTGGGGGAATTTCTCAAAAATCACTTCAAAACACATGACTCACATTGGAAGTAGACGGTAATGTTGAGCAAACACATCAAGCAGTTTGTCTAGCCTCCACTAGGTCTAACTAAGCTCCCTCCCCCCGCCATGTCGCATCTATTGAAACACCCCGTACCAAGCTTGACACTTACTTTGTCTCAGGAGAGTATGTCATACCGCAGGTAACTACTCAGTCCCGGTGGCAGGTTCAGCATGTCTAGGTCGTTAGTGTTGGGGACCAATCGACGGATGGCCAAGCGGCAGGTGTGCTGCAGGGTCTGCACCTCCTTGGGGGCCATCAAAAAATGCACCGTGCCATTTCTTGTCCTGTAAGAAATTGAAATAAAAATGTAATTCAGCTTGCCATTTAGAACTGCGATCATAAATGCATGCATATCACATTTTGTGGTGAGAAAATCAAACAATCATACTTGCTTCATACTGTTTCACACTTAATATGAATATGAATGTACATGTACATGATTGGATGATATGAAACCTTACGTGTTTCGTGCAAATGCGTACCATATATAAATGGCATTTACCAATTATTCACATTTGTGCTTATCCATGTTGCCTTTGGGTTGCTTCTTTTTATCTGAGCATAAAATGTCAAATCAAGACTTAACTTAAACCACATGAAGCTTGATTATCATGACAAAACAGAACAGTGTTGTACATGTACCAGTAACCAAAGCATTTTCAAGAAATCAAGTAGGAAGTTATTTTTTCCTCCTAGCCAAGTCAGGTGACTAGTACAATTTTCTTCAGTCAAGTCCCGAGTATTCAGTCTTTTTTTTTCAATGCGTAACTGACATCACATTCAACATGTTACTTGTACACTTTTTCCGACATCCTTCATTGCCGATTGGACCAATGTTTTGCAAAACGGATATGACTCATATTCCTTTTTTATCCCGTAGTAATATGCTAACCCCCCTCCCCCCGAAAATCTAAAAAAAAAAATGTACATGTACCATGGAAACAGAAAGTCAAAGACACCCTTATCTTGTATTTATTTCAACAAAAATCATCAGTTCCATTAACTTACTTTGTTCAAGTCAGTTCCCAAGTTATTTTCTCTCAAGTCAAATGGGCATGGCCAATGTTGGCTTTACAAAGCCAATGTGTTGGCCACTCAAAAACCACTGCTTGAGATCATCCACAATAACACAAGCACCAAAGTTTCCGAGACCAGAAAAAGCTGTGCTCAATCTACGTTTTACCCCGACAGTACTCATGTACATGTCTGGTTTATTTAACAGACTAACAATGGATGCCCAAGTGTAACCTCAGATCTAATTCTAATAAGCTAACACAGCCAACACTAGCCCTGTCAGCAACACTGTGATTTAGGCATTGAAAGCTTAGTTTCTATGGTGGAGTTACCCTGTAGCGAGGACATGCCCATCTGCTGAGTAGCTGCAACATAGACCGCCACGGACATCAGAGACTGAGACAGGGTCTGACGTGTCAAACAGGGACCAGAAACGAATGTACCTAGAATGGAAAAAAAGAAAAACCATGCAAGAGATCTATAACACAGCCATAGTACACACTGCTCAGTGAGACTTAGAATACGCCAGCCAAGTCTGGTCGGCTTGGTGGTTGAGTAGTTTAAGTAAAACTCTGCTCTGGTGAGCAGGAGGTCATGTATTCGAGTACCGCCTTTGCAAGCTTCTGAGTTTTTCTCAGAAACTTTTAATCGTACACGTACTTGGTAAACACTGCACATGTATACTAATAGTACATGTAACAAGGTGAAGGGCAAACTCTAATATCCAAATCAAAGATCAAGAAACCCGGGAAGACAAATTACAAACTAGAAATTACATTACAAGGTATGTCTACAGGTAATTTGAATGACAGGGTGTGGCTCAAAGAGGTGAGTGCTTGCTTCATTTGAAACACTCTTCCAGGAAAGACAGCACATTACTGGTAGGGACATGCACAGGAACACTTGCTCTCTGGGGAAGAGGGTCATGTGCCTGTTTCTGGATGACTATGTGCATGCACTGTAGCAGTGGCAAAAACTACCAGATGATGAAAATATTCGACAAGACCTTCCTTGATTGACTTCAGGTGGAAGTTTTTTGGGTTTACTTCCGTCCTCTCTCATTCATGGATAAGCAGTTAATGGAATTGGATTTTTGTCCATTTGGTGGTATCCTTGGTTCAGTATTGATCAATCTCTTAATATGATCTGCAAAAGTGGGATACTCAATGCTGGCCACTTCCTGGTGCGTCCTGTTTCCTGAATGTTTACATGAAGGTGAAAGCACACTTCCTGGCCGATATCCACATAATTCACAGCCCCCCCAATATCAATCAAGCAGATATAAGGTCTCAACACTTGCTGTCCACTGGACCTACACGTTGTTGTCATTATGGTTTCTGACATATGGGTCAACTTGCTTCAGTCTACATTGTCCATTTCAAATAGATTCTGCAATTCAAATCAAGTTGCCTGTACTATTTTACAGGTTTGCAAGTGGACATTAATCTACAAGCATTACATATCGGACATGTTGATCAGAATGATTAGTCGTTAGGGCATTTCCTCGGTCCTTACTTGTCATCGCAGACCGTAGCGAAGTGACTGCCGTCTGGTGAGAAGGCCATGTGTTTTACATAGTTGTTGTTGCAGCCTCCAGCAAAGACAATTGACAGGGGTGGAAAGACATGGCTGTGAAGAAAGAAACAGCAATGATTAGCAAAAAACAGACAAAGGAAAAACGTTAAGTGCCTCCAGATATATGTATATGAAGATGTCACATTTGGTTGATGTTAATGTATCTCTTTGTATGATAATCAACTTTTAATCTTGATGTCATGGCATATTAACCACTTCTGGCTGGGGGCATTTATCAAATCAATTCTGCAGGGCTGGAGTATTTTTCATTTTTTCTATTTCAAAATTCTTTTAAAAATCATAACTTCATTTACTGGACACTTACACCCACACAAATGACTGTCTGGTTTCTACTCTAATCTGACAGACAAGATCTATTGACGCCTGCCGCCTTGTAAAAAGAGCCCAGATTGTGTGGTGTTACGTAAATTTCTTTTGTTCCCGAAACTGGCACACATCTTTTCAAAAGAGGCCAGATTAGCGTGCAGCGGTACTGTGTGGCTCATTGCTGTGGTGGTGGAGCGCTTTTGTCCCCGGTGGTAATCCACTCGCACTGAATGCCACAAACAGTGGTATGCTGTTTCAAAAAAATGCTGGATTATCTTCGCTATTGAGAGTGAAAAAATGTTGGTAATTCCCAGCAGCCTGGTCTTTTGTTACAAGTACGGTCTTTTGTAACAAGGCCAAGTTCCCTTTGTCCGATTTCGGAGACACTGGCTGTACATATAAAGAATACGTGTCTGAGACCAGGCTTCCCAGCTGCAAGTCGTTAACTCAGTACTGTAAAATTAACATTCTTTGTTGAAATTCAACCCTTCCCAACATCCTTTGTAAGATCAGTATGTGAGTCCGTTGCCTATAAAGGAATCAATTTTAAGGACCGATATATTCACTCGACGCACAGTCAGTGTTTACAGTATATCCCATGCTTTCTTAATTAAGATGAGCCCAGATGTTATGGCTATGGCCGAAAATAAGGCATGCACCTAGGGTAGCCACTTGCTAGTGCCTGCAGCAACTTCCAATAGATGTGAGTGTAGCCATTAGCCGCAGCCAAGTAATTCTGGTGGCTTTGGTTTCGAGATACCCCTAAAGCACCTATTTTCTTCTTATAGAAAAATATAAATAACTCACTGGTACTCTTGAAGCAGTTTTCCTAGATGTGGGTCCCACAGCAGCACCCTGGTGTCATAGGAGGCTGTGGCGAGCAGCGCTCCATCCGGTGAGAACTCACAGGCAACCACGTCGTGATGGTGCCCCGTCAACCGCCGCAGTATCTTGCACTTTCTCAGGTTGCGGTCCTTCATGTCCCACACAATAACCTGAAAGACCCAACAAGATTGTCTCGCATCAGAAAAAAAAAATGGGCCCAATATAGACTTCCACTCTATCAAACATAACCCCATCGGGGTTTCTCTTGTAGGCAATCTGTTATATCTGCTGGAGCTTAATGAATTGGGTTTGAATCTCACCCAAGCTGACACATGGACAGGGACTCTCAGTCCCTACCTGATTCAGTAAGTTTCAGCCAAGGCAATTAATTTTAGGCTCTCCGTCCAACCTCTTAGGCTGATCATGTCTTAACTGTCATCATCGCTTTCTTAAGCTGGAGTACGACAGGCACAGTTAAAAAATTCTGGCTTCCATCACCAGAAAGGAAGAGTGGTGAGAATAGAAACAACCATCTGACTAAAGACCGGTTCAGACTCAGTGATTTGGATCAAATATTCTCACCACGAATTTGTAAAAAAACGTTGAACACCTTTCAGATTAATTTTGCTGCAACTGTATTGTTGGCATCAAATTCTTTTCTCTTTCACGTTTGCCTAAAGTGCAAACCAGTCTCAAGCCTTCAATAGACAAACTCTCATCAGACATTGTTAGGGGGGGGGTGTATACGTACGCATTTCTGAGAGCCGACCGAGGCCAGCATGCTCATGTCCGGAGCAAAGGCACAGGCGTACACCCAATTGGAGTGGCCCCGCAGTGTCACCACCATATTACCATCATCCTTCAGGTCCCACACCTTCAGGGTGCGGTCCCGCGAGGCAGAGAGGAGGATCAAGCTGCCGTCTGGGCTGAACTTTAGGTCGCGGATGACATCCTTGTGGTCCACCAGAAGGAGAATTTGCTCTGTGTGTTGTAAAAGACAGAGAAATATACCGGTAGAATACATGTATTTTCAGTAAAAACCCTCCCATGTAAACATCCATTCTGTACAAAGTTGTCTCTGGGACCAAACTGTTTTTGACAGTCTAGAATCCCCTGCATACACGTCAAAGTACTTGACGAGTTGTGCTTAACTGTCAGTGATTGATGAAAGTGAATTTTATCTGCCAGTTGCCTGCTTGTGATGGCTGCTTTTGTCTGCTGATGGAATTCGACCAGTGGCAGTGCCTACCAGCATTTTATCAGGCTGTTGGTCAGGACTGTGCCGAATATCCGAATATTCAATCAATTATCAAAGATTCAAATACAGTATTATTTTCCAAATCTGAATACTCGAATGCAAAATTCATTAACAGGAAGGGTGAATTTTCTTTGGTTTTATATGAGAAAAATTGTACTATGGAGGCTTGTTTCAAGCAGATTCAAATGAAAAGCGACAGAAATCTTACGACTTAAAAAGTACATTATTCATTACAAACTTTTAAACGAAATAGCAATTTCACCAGGGCAAGAAGTATTGTTCGTTAATTTACATCTTGGTAAAATCATGGCTGCAGTTACCATACTCCTAGACACGAGAAGCGATTGTAGTGATTATAATGTACAATTGTGTGCATTATTGAATCTGATTTACATGTACATGTAGTATATGGTTTAACCATCAACAATCTGCCGGTTGGTAAGATTCCATTCGATTGAATTGAAGGTCCAATTTGCGAATAGTGAATTATTCGAAACTGACTCAGCCCTATTGTTGGTGACAAGCTTGTTTGTTTAAAGTGTAGCTGGGGAAAGTGGAATTTCTGACTGCCAGTAACTGTTACGAAAGTGAGGTTAAGCTGAAACAGTTTACGCCAGAGAACTTGTTCACAATTAATCTTCCAATCAGTAGCTGCAAGGGCCACTGATGGGTTACATTGTCCAATGTTCCAAGAGTCTCTGTCTGTGGATGTACATGTACATGTATGCGACGTACTGGTAAAGCCACAATCATGGGAGGCATGTGCCCTAGTGGTTAGGGTTTGTAGCTTCTGATCATAGGGTCAGGGGTTCGAATCCAGCTGGTGGCAGCATATTGTGATCTTGGGCAAGTCACTTTACCCCTGTGTGCCTCTCTCCACCCAGGAGTAAAACAGGTGGATATGGTAATTTAGCCTTTTGTGCCAAACTGACAGTACCGGGCTAGTATACACCCAAGGGAGCTGAGATGGTTTCAGGAAGGTTCAGATGATTCGTGAGCCCAATATGCAGGGATAATGATAATACAGCACCTCGGAATGGTTTGCCAGATAGATGGCGCTTTACAAGTGCTTGTTATTATTATTACTATTATCATGGGTATACACCTGCTTGTGGTGTCCATGTTATGAACACAACGTTGAAAAACAATGATGTACAGGCAAGAGTGGTGAGGCTCAGTCAAACAGCTTTATACCAACTAAGAATAAAAACTGTTTAAAGTCTGGCAAATCCCAATTTGCGAGGAGTTACATGTACATTTGTATTCTGCATTGCTGTGGCCTTCATAACAGTGTCTTTTGCAACAGAAAGTGTAGACTACATATACCAATGATTGTGACTGTTTAAATACCAAAGTCTAACTTACTCATTTGTCACCTGTTCCCATTGCACAGGACAAAGTACATGTACATACCGGTACACATGGCAAAGAACAAAAAAGGCTGATCATTTTTCCAACAGATACATGTGCTGTAGGGCAATGATAGTACATGTATCTAAATCCTTTCTCGTGGGAATACACAGAGGAGTATCATAAATCACACCAAAATGTATTATCGGAAAGCTGTAGAACTCAAAATTACAAAAAAAGTTAATTTTTTTGCTCTAGTTTTGTTTAGATTTTGAGTGAAAGGTCATATTTGCTTGATACACATGGCTGTATCGGTATGTGTATTTACTGTAGCCTATTGTTCCATCTATTGCTCTGTTCCATTATATCTTTCTGCTTTCATTCAGATTACCCTCAAGAGTCAGTACCTGTGACAGTTACCGGTAGATGCATTTCAAAAGTTGGACCAACAGATCCACCTTCTTAGCTTTTTTGGCTAGTCATACTAGATAAGATTTTTATCAGGTACAAGTACATGTACATGTACTATACATGGGGCATGGAATCTATGAACTTCCAAAAAAAATGGGTATGTTGAACAATGTTTACATGCAAGCTCTTTGGACTGCACCGATTACCTGTACTTAGGCAATGGCCAACAATCGCTTCTGTCAATTACTGTTGCCTGCATTATGACTGATTTTACAGGCTGAATTCCTTCCAATTCTTTTTCCGCCGGATACGGCTGTTTGGCGGAGTGGATTAATCATTGAAATGCTTCTTTCCACAGTCACTATTGTCACTATATTCACAGACACTTAGTATGACTTAAGGTGTTATGATAATTTTAGACTGAACAGAGTTGCAGATAATGATAAAACCAATTTTCTGAATCACAGAAAATTTTTTCCTTCAAGCAACGCCTTAGCTATTGGTATATGTAATCTTTGTATCAATCCCAATACAATCTGGAACAGGCCAAAGAACAAAATGAGGGTACCAGCTTTGGATCCTCTTACATGTATGTAAGAAACAAGCTGGCAACCTCATGTTTTTCCGGTAAATATTTAATGCATATATTATACATATTATACATGTACCATGTAACATCATTTAGCAGCAGTGCACCTGTGTAGTGCAGGTAGCACAGTGAGGCTGGGCATTGCTACTGTCATCAACTACATGTTCACGACTAGAAACCTTTGCCTTCATGCATGTATGTACAATATGTACATGTACATTCAAATGCCAGCTTTTTAAAGAGACACGGTGTAAGTCACGTTTTCTTTCCTGTAAACTCAGCAAACAGCAAACTCGTGACACCAGTCTTTTGAAAGTCATGTTGTGCAATTTGACCATGAACCCTCAACAAACAAATGATTGATGCTTGCAGCAAGGGAAGTTGAAGAGTGAGGAAGAGAGTGAGAAGGTAGGGTACAAATGCCAGTACCCTCCAAATCGGCTTCACTTCAAATACATGTACATGTACATGTACATGTACCCTCCAAGTGCTGCTTTTTCAAGTCATGCCCGTGGAAGCAATCAATGCAATGGTTCCCAATGGGGATCATATTGCATGGCTTGTAAGCACCGTACCTTTCAATAGCCAAACTGTGCTCTCTGGCACAAGTTCTGCTGGGATTTTTATCAACCCCCCCATCTCTTGTCCCCCCTCCCCTTCCCTGTCAGGCTTTACCCCAGTCTTGATTAATAATAGTACGTCATAAAGCCTGCTGGCTAGATACATGTAGATGTACTGTATGTATGTACACTGTATGTATAAATAAATACAATAAGTGTACATTGTACATGATGTACATCAGTGATTCAAATGGAAGCCTTCTAGTGATGTTCAGTACTTTTTTTTGCAAGAAACAAAGCAGTGGGTAAACAGTACATGTTCATAGCAACGATGTACCTAACAAGAAAAGGTTTACTATACCATGTTGTCTACAGGGTGACGCAAAACATCCGTGAAAAAAATAGTGCTCGGTGCGGCTGGCCAGCCGTTGACAGAAGCGCTAGCGCTAAACGGTAACTTGAAAGTTGAATACAACTTTAAAATAGGCCTTCTGATCATTGAAAAGGGGCACGTCCACCAAGTGGCCAATAGGTGCATGCTATTTTTAAAGGGCATGATGGCAATTCCCTGGGGCTTCGTGGCAGTGGCCGCTGGTGGCCGCTGGAAAGATCAAAGCCTGCAAGTCTGTTGCAAGGGCACATGCTGCACTAAACAGGGCAATAAATTTATTTCCTCTTTGCCTCCATAAATGACTCAAGCAAGACAAGGACAAGGAAATAAATGCAACATGCACTAGACTACGAAAAAAGGTTAGCGGAGTGATCATTGCTCAAAGAAAACCTGGAGCTTTATTCCCTTTGTGAATTAGCATTTTTATGCATTCTTTTGGCAAATTAAAAGAAATTTTTAAAAAGGGTTCCCGCAGTTAGTAATCAGTGTTTCAACTACCCACAGACATGACAACTGTCTGGATTCATTCTTTGATTCATTCAGGGAAAGTTTTAATGTGCCACAATCTGTCCAGACGGCAACTGTTTTTATTGTACTGTCAATTCATTTATCAGTACATGTACATCATGGTGGAAAAGCCAGTAGAACTTAGTGCTCCAAAAGGGTTTTTACTGCAGTAAAAATTATTCATACTTAAAAACTGAAAAAAGTGAAGTGCTAACATAATTAGTCCATGTACCTGTTGATGGTTACCGCTCACAACATATATCTACAGGTACTAGTGTGACACCTCTGTATATCTAATTTTAAAGAAAACAAACCCAGGAGACCCTTCCGGGCAAGCATTAGGTTGGCTTTAAAGCTTGCGCATAATGGGACAACTGGACCTCAGTGAGAATAGACATGTACCGGTATATGCTTCACATTTATGGGGTTTCTTCTGGCTGCATGCCAAAAATCAGGTCATTACGATGTCGAAGCCCAAGCCCTGTTCATTTTGTTTGAGGATTAAGAGTTTCAAGCAATCAGGGCAACTTGAAAACCAGAGAGTCTGTTACATGTAGTATTCAGGGAAACTTTGCCTAAGATTTGACTACAAAAACACCACCGGTATACTCTTGTTTATTCTGGGTGAGAGAGTAAAGGGGAACCAAAATATGGAATGAACTACATGTGGTAAAATGTACTTTCTAGGTCAACTGCAATGAAATGATGCAATACAAAATCAAGTGCATGTTATATGCACGCATACAATCAACTGTCTAACTTGATCTTCAGACTTGGTCACATGGACGTTCACTCAGCAAATACCTGAAATCGGCTATTTAAGCTCAGTACACGGAGAATACAGTCAAGTTCATATATGCATACTGGTAGATTACTTTTGGAGAACATGGGTACTGTGCAACCAAGAATGTGGAATAAATACATGTTATTACATGTACATGCAATCTACATGTACACAGACAACACCCTGCTGTGGCATAGTTGGAAAAAAGCCAATGAACTTAACCGTGTTCATGTGGTACATATTACGACAGGTTTTATTTCCATCAACTGCATGGGTAGCCTTGAAATGTGCAACTCAGACAAAATGTTACATGTTTGAAAGCCTGAAAAGGACAATGCCAGATCATAAACGACAGTGAAAAAAAATGGGAGAAACCAGACGAAACAATGAAAGCAAAATAAAAATCATTTTCCTGATTTTGATGATTTTTCACCTTGTGTGTTTCCCTCGGGTGGTTTGTTAGGAATTCACATTTTGATGGCTGTTCATGGCCGGCAGAGCAACACATTAAAAGGTTGAACTTTCAAAGAAATATTTAAAGGGTAGCTGCAATGGTATTCTTTGGGTACAAACCTCCAAAATGCACCTTTGTGTCTCAGTCAACCTCACTTTCAATTCTTGTTTCACTATTTCAAATAGCTTTTGTTGCCAGTGTGTTTTTCATGCTAATGAACATTTTCATTTTCATGAGCAAAACTGTGATGTCATCCCAGGCAGAACATGTCAATGTTTATAGGTTTGTGCACAAAAACTCCTGCCCACAAGTAGTTTAAAGATTTTGCTGGCCTAAACTTCCTCTTCTTGATGTACATATTGTGTCAGTACAAAGCAGTAGGCATCAATCCTAGCAGGCAATCAGCTCTTCAACGTAAATGCTTTCAATTCACAATTTGAATAGCGAAACAAGTACATGTACATTTAATTCAATCCGCTTTGAGCAGAAGACCCCCCCATCAGACAAGGGGAGCCATGTACATGTAGGCTGAGAATGTTCAATTTGCTGGTAGCGACTTGACCGTAACGTGTTTATTTCATAGTCGTTTGTGAACCAGTAAAATGCAGTTCCGACCAAAAGGAGCCTCCCTTGCTCAGAAAATTGCACCCTCTTTTGCTCAAGTTCGAAACTCATTGGGATGTCAAACAGTTTTCAGACACACTGAAGAATAGCATAATGTTGCTGAAAAATTGTGTCTGCAATTAACTCATTGCAACTCCTGTACGATACACTTAAAGTGTTTACCCAGACTGCTTGATTGAATAAAATATTGCCATCCTCTGTCCAACCAAGACTAAGTACAGAAAATGCCTTCGTTTTTGTCATCCCCCTGTAAATAATTTCTAACTAGTAGGTAACCTTAGTAGATTGGACCATGTATTAGTTCACTACGTCTAAAATCGCCTCTACTGACTATGTAAACTACATGTATGATCAAATTACATTAAAATGCCTGCACCTACTTCAGTGAAAAATTTCATAGACTGAAATGTAGCTTCTAAGTTTAAGGTGCCCGGTACATACACTGTTAACCTTGGTTACATGAAGTACAAAATAAAACTATAATATAAATTCCAAACTTTGATGACAATTCATGTACTTGCAAAAGGGCACAATAATGATTTGAAAGGATATGGGTTTCTCCACCTCAGTATACAAGTACATGTATTTTTCTTTCTACCAACCTGTGGCGATGTCTACCGTCATGATCTTGCCCGACTTGAGACCGATGGCGATGATCAAGTCATAGCTGGAGTCCAAGTGCTCAAAGTGATGGTACTTGATATTGATGTGCTTCCACTTCTTGTGGGGCTTGGAGGCACCGAAGGCCAGGGACCAGACAGGGTCAGTGCACTGGACGATTTTCACGTCCTTTGTCACCTGCTGTTGCTCTTGCTGCTGTTGTTGTTCCTGTGGATTCTGCTGCCGGTTGATGTCACCATATCGGATGACGTTGCCACTGACATTGGTTATGTCCAATCTGCAAAACATGATTAGATGGATGAACTTTTAGTTAAAAACTGCAAATGAGTCAAAACCAAAGGGGCAGGCAGTCCCGTATATCAGAAAAAAATTCTTTGGTGACTTGCAGAGTGCTTTTGGAAAAACATGTAAAAGGTATCAACAATCACTGTATGAAACCCAGCCTCCATCATATTGCTTATTGCTGAAACACTTACACTTGGTTAAAAGCCCCTAAAAGCTGGGTTAAAGGATGAAATCAAGGGTGCAGTTTCCATGAAAAGGAGACATTTCATGTACATGTACTTTCTTCTCACATAAAAAGCTACCGGTACACAAAGGTCAATGTGAACAACAGCAAGCAGCTGGAAACAGGGGAATACTTGCTCACTGACATGACGAGGTTGGAAACTCCTGGAAACCATACACATACATTCTTGGTTGTGACCAGGAAGATGAGATTTGAAGTTTCTCATAATGAAGGAGGCAAGTTAAGTAACAGGTTTGCGGTAGCCCCATGCGAAATATCTCTTTTGTGAGTATTTGCGGTTCTAAACGGAACTAGAGGTGTGACCAGTGCTGTAGTCCTGCAAGTACAATATGAGTCCACCACAGCTCATCCAGTCTTCCATCAAGTCGCAAGCTATTCAAATGAACAATGACAAAAGCATTCCTTTGTCGTTTTACCCTCTTACTAATGAATGGTCAGGTAACAAGACTTGTGGCTGGCATATTTAATGGACCCAATTTACTGCACTGGTTGTGACCAGTAAACAGTTAAAAAAACTTTTGGTAACAAGCAATCACTTCATTTTCTAACGGCAGTGCATTTTCAAATGAGAAACAAGGGAAAATACTTGTGACTGAGGCCGATACTTACACAGTGTTTCTCTGGTTGTCCCAGGGAATGAGCCTAACTTTGCAGTTTCCCGATGACCAGGCAAAGTAGGAACGGTCAGGCGCAAAGGCCACAGACCAAGTCTCAAGATTGACCGAACTGTTCCTGAAGGCCAGGACTTGGTGCTGGTTGCCAGTTTGAGGTCGAAGGTCACATATGGGCTGTGCTTTGGCTGGAAATTAAAAAAAAAAACATTAGGGCTTATTGGATGGTCTCAATCACAGTGATTACATATCGAGGTTTTGTTTGACATGTATGCACTTGGAACAGTTTATGGGTCACTTACAAGAAGAAATCCCCCTGCAAAATCTGGTAATGGTGACAGGATGACCGGCAGGAAATTAATATTTCAGTCAGTGTCTGGGAATCTTTGGACATCTCATGGGCCATTTTTGACACCATTTTGTAACACAACTACATGTAAAAAGCATAAAACCTGTGCAACTTGGATACTTATTTATCACTTCAATTAAAATGTACCGGTATGTGAATGTGGACACCTTGCTTTTGAATGCCGACTTAAACCCTGCATGCAGTAAACATGTAAACATACATGGAGTAACATACTGCACGTGTTTCAAATTAATGCTGGCACAGTAAAGCATTCATCATTTCAAGCATAGTCTCCTGATTTCAAACACAAACATGATTCTGAGTCCATGTTGACCTGTGGGACAAGTCAAATGGAGAAATCTGCATGGCTAAGCATGTGATTTTAATGGTGAGGGGAAACCATTTCTGCAGATTCAATCAACTGTGTGGTGTGCTCACAGTTACACTGACATGTGAATGACAGACAGCATTCTTGTGGACAGCTATACTGTGCATGTACATGCAGGTTGCAAAGCTCATGCTGTTGCATAATGACTCTTTGTTATTTGATCGCCTTAAATGCCTCAGTGGGTTCCGTTCATGAGCAACCAGCCACACCCCCAAAACTGACCAATGGCATAGCTAAAGAAAATGGCTTGACAACAGCAGAGGGGCAAGGCCCCCAACACAAGTATATGGCAAACAAATATAGTTCACAGAAGAATTTATGTACATGTCTCAGTTCATGTTGACATTCTGCCAAGTCATGATCTGGTCTATTACATACATGTACATGTTTGTTTTTACATCACATACAAGTGGATACAAAAGCTCTGTCTGTCATATCTGTAGGTATTCTTCAGTGAATAATTATGTTTGTTTGTAGCCAAATGGCAAAGATGTCCAATTATATACATGTACATATGGAAAACCTTGGATGCATTTTGACTTGCCGTGGTTGAATAATTCAAAAGTCATAATTTACCCAGTGGGTTTCTTTGTGAAAAATACTATTTCATGCATAGATGCACCCTACATGTTTGATGATATACGTGTGCATGTACAGTGCATGCATTGATTTCACTTTTGTAGTACTCATGTAAATGTATGCTGTTGTGGTCTGGACATGCAATCTCCAAATATGGCATAACTACCGTACACGTATTTATGTATTTGACATATTCCATTGCCCTAACAAGAATGAGCACCCTCTTTCTCAGTGTCTCAGCAAGTTTACGGACATGTAAATTGATCATTCCAAATACATGTACAGTAGATCCTCAGTTTTGTTGTTTGATATAAATGCCACACTCAATAGTTTTGTTTTTGGACAGACATTTGGGCTGTGTTTTTTCTTCTATCCTCAGGTGTCCATCTTGGGATGTGTCATGGCCATTTGACATGCAACGCTGCTCATATATTTTATGCATTAATTTCAACCCAGGGTCACACATTTTCACAATTAACCATGCACATAATCTCATACATGTATCTCCAGGACTGAGCTGCAAATATGCGTACAGTACTGCTTTGCATGTAAATGTACAGTATATGTATGTATGTACATTGCATTCTCTGAATGTTGTTGTACTGTGCAATACAAGAAACCACATCACGAACCCAGAACCTCATTTTCGAAGGGGACACGCACAGAATTTGAATGTCTACATTAATAGTCTACAATATGCAAGACAAAACAAACAAAAAAATCAATCATTTTCTCCTCCAAAACACATTGTTTTCATTTTTGAAACATCTGGGTTCTATTACAAAATACACCGTACTGCAGGTGTTGAAAACAACTGTAATTAATGTATGATGTATATCCAAAATTTAAAAAAATGAGCAAAATTCATTTTGTCAAGCCCAGATTGGACCCATTCTGTCCTTGAGTACATCTGAATCCTGTCAAGGGATAAATGTAGAGTTGGATGAAAGATTTTCTATAAAAACCTCAGGAACACATTACTAATTAGTCAACCAACCAGCCAAAGAAGGGGGCCACTGTTGACAATTTTCTTGGCAAAAAAAAAAAAAAAATTTCAAAACTAAAAAACCCATGTGTCCTAATAGAAACCAGCATGAAACAAAGGATCCAGTCTTTTATTTCCAAGGAAGGGCACATGAAAATAACACCCTGTAGTCTACCGATTCTTAAAAAGTTTTGCATTAATCTTGAGATCTTGTATTCTACAGGTACATGTACTCTAAAAAGGTTACTGTATTTATCCTAATAGAAATAATTTTCCTTAAAGTTTGCCCATTTTGATTAATTTGTTTTCAAATTAAGTCCAGAAAGCCTTTTGACATTCCAAATAATTATTTCTGCACCATATCTTCAATGAATTTATAAAATTTGAAATATCAAAACCTAAACAAAATAAAACGAAATGACATCTATTCTGTTGCCAGAAAGAGTTCCATATATATCCAGCCACCACTTATTTTCCTTATAATATGAATAAAAATAATCAAATAATATAGAGCAAGGCTCAAAACTAATTAAGGAGTAAAAAATATTTGAAGTTTTCTCTGAAATGACTGACTTTTTCTGTCATGGCTGATAGATATTGTGTATGAGGTCTAAGGTGGTGACTAGATGGAACTCTATTCCAATAGCAGGGAAGCAGAGCAGCATTTAGCAATTTTTCCAATAGAAGCAGGATCCTAAATGTACATTGAAAAACAGTGGATATTTGACCAGTTCATGGTTCAAGATGCTTTTGCTGTGGTGTCAGCATAGCATCTGAACATGTGCAGAGAATGTTTTTAGGTACTTCAAAATTTCACTCTGACAAATCTTTTGTCTGGCACGGTTGAGCCCAATCTTTGAAATTGTGCAAATTTTGAAATTTGTGCTACCACAGATATTGCCATGAAAATTGCACACCGTGATAAAATTTCTGTGAATACATGAACAACAAGCAACAGTCATCACAGTCATATGTAAGAGGTTGTCATTGATTCTACGTTTCGCACGACTTCGTAAGGTCCGTTTTGCGCATGACATGTGTGCTGCATGTAAAGCGTGGCACATGGAGCTTGGGTACGGTACGTCAATGTGACGCCGGCCTGCAACGGCTGTTCCATGTCAAGACATATGTAATACACAGACTGAGCGATAAGATACTACATGAACCAATTGGCTCTTCCAAAACTTTGGCAGCAGACTGAGCGATAAGATACTACATGAACCAATGGGCTCTTCCAAAACTCTGGCAGCAGTTCAGATGTCTTGACATGGAACAGCCATCAAGACGATGAAGGGTCAAGTGACGTGATACTCAACGACCTTATTTTAAAGATGGCGACTGAGAGAGCGTGCCGGTTAGATTGAATGGACAAAGGCAAAAAGACTGGAAAATACCGGAATAATGTGAGTGAAATAATTCAATAAATGGTTTTTAGAAAGTGGAAAGGTCAAGAATCATGTTCATGTGCAAAAGAAATTGCGCCCACGATAAGTGGGTGCGCCGAAATGTTCAATACGCTGACACAAAATTGCGTATACGGATGTGGGGCCAAGGATGGATCGGGAGTGAGAGTCCGTGCCACACTAGTGGGGCTAACCTGATTCCAGATTAATACAGGAATAGCCTACACACTGTACTGACATGGCCTAGGCCTCCATGTATGATGTAGGGATAGGCATGGTAGGTCCTAGGCCTAATGTACTAGCAGGCCTACCTAGGCTTACCATTCCTACCTAAACGTGAACTTGAATACCTTACTTGAAAGCACTGCCCCCAAAATACGACATACAATTTACATGACAAACACATGTGACTAACAGTTCACAGACATCCTTATCTCAGGTTCTGAATCAAATACTGAAATATGAATAGGGCCTACATGTAGGCTAAAGAAGTATCACCGTCACGTAGCCTACCAATGTTTTCCGGCGTGGAAAACTGAAAACTGCTCATACTAATTCTTGAAGCAGCCAATGAAGGATTAATGTAGGTCACTCCAAGTACGAGACTGGTGTGTTCTAAGTAATATAGCAGACACCTTCCAAGTTGTCTCAAGCTACTTGGATCCAAATTGATCATGCAACTGTACGGACGACAACATGGCGATCGAGCGAAGTCTGTTCCTGTGCACGGTGGAGGCTCGTCGTGGGCTGTGGCTCTGACGACACATACCCACGGCCACGCGTACGCATGCGTGTCTTTTAACGTTGGGATCGAGATCTGTCAGGCCTAGCCTACGAGCGAATTTTTCCAACGATGATCGACGAGCTCCTATTCCAGCGTATCTCCTTATGACGTTGTGTCTAACTAGAATTTAGAAACCACTCTTCCAGGTACATGTATCAACTGCCATTCTGGTATGCTTTAGCCTGGATTTGCATACTAGTGATATTTGTTGGCGTCTGCGCAGTTTGAAGAGGCAGTGCGGTTTCACAGTTTGAAACGGTCTAATGAATCACGACGCGTTTCTGTATCTCACGTGTACGTACGTGTGCACGTCACTCGCGTGACGAGCTGCACGTACACAACAGGGGCCTTTCTTTGTTGTACAGTAAATGTACATAAAACCATCAGCAGCCGCGCTGTACGATCTTTGGTACGCAGTTTATGTTGCCGATGAATGACTTGCAGATATGTGTAGACTGTGTAGTTGAAAGGATTTCTCCACCTAAATGATGATGTGCTCAGAAAAAAATGAATGGGGGAGGCAAATTCAAAAAAGAATTTGGCTTCGGGATCATTCAGCATGACGTTGGGGGAGAAAAATCAAATGGTGTCCTTTTTTTTTAGGGTTTTGGTGCTTCTATATGTATATGATAAATAAATATATCAAAACCAAACCAAAATTTCCGTAATGACAAGTACTCGTGAAGAAACCTTATTATAACAAGCAATAGAAATGTTACAGCAAGGCTAATGATGTCCTTAATGAACCAAATAAAATATTTATATACAGGGCGGTGGGTTTGCGCGACTACGATGCCAAAGCATTATGAGGAAAAGTGGGAAATCGTTGTAAATTGTAGGCAACAGCACACTGTTTCCTTAAAAAAAAGAGGCAAAAAGGGCGTGGTTGTAAATGTCGACTTTTGTATGTGCATTTGCAGAGATGAGCTGGTGATTTATTTTCAGAACTCTTCCAGATTTGCATCTATTTGGCTAACAGTTTGGGGAACTTCAAGGAAACAAGCATGGGTACTTCTGATGAGGGACCATGAACTATATTCACGTACATCTATAGAGGCTTTGCACGGTAGCCATCTTGTATGCAGTGCAATTCTTTCGTTCCACAGGGAAACCTCCTCTGTGTATACCCTGTGGAACAAAAGCACCGACCTACAAGACGGCAGCCGCGCATTACCCTCTTTTGGCATAACGGTTGCAGGCAAGTAAATAGGTCCAAAATTGCCTGCACGGACGGAATCACGATTTGTAGCGGTGATGTTCTCTGCTATTAGAGCATTTCGTGGAACGTGGACTGGGTAGTTTCCAGGGGCAGGACTACCAGCTTGTATTATTGTAAGTATCGGACAAAACGGGCCCTCCAAATTGCGCTATTTTGCAAAGGAGTGCAGGCATCAATTTTCAAACTGGCAATGGGCCACATGACTTTTTTGGGGGGGTGATTCTCTCTGGAGAGAAATATCTTCAAAAGTCATGAGTTAAGCCACTAAGATTTGACAGGAAAATGAAAGATGAGGAAGTGTACTTTAATTTGGTATGTGTCCTGAACACCTGTGAAACTTGTATTTTTCCTGATTTTTTTAAGTGGGGATATTTATCACTGTTGCCCATGGCAGCTTATTTACTGGTGTGTACCCATAGCATTAAGGGTCTTTTGCCCAATAATTTTGTATATCGCCCTCTTGCGTCAAAATTGTCTTGACTCTGTTTAATAGGAAAAAAAAGATTTTAGTTTTTAATGAATTTCACCATTGGTCAATGTTTTACTGGTCACGTGTATATGGAGTTTGCTACAAGCGGGAAGAGAAGCCTTTCCTCCCAAAGAGGAGGAACAGGTGAATTGTATAGGTAATTTCATCATAACTAACAACCGGGCTGCGTCATCATTCACGGTTACACATGTTCTTTTGAAATCCCAGAGCGGTCTGGTTAGCCTCTCAAAACTTCTTATGACCCAAGACAAAAACAATCACCTGAAGAGCTACAGGTGGATTTTTTATTCTTTTCAAACCTCGGCTTTGTGCGTTGTACCCTCGCTTGAGGAATTCAGTCTCTGTAGTTAAGACCAACTGGCTCAATGCAGTGTGAAGGTCTGCTCTGAGCGACATCAAATCGTCTAATTTGCTCCGAGATAGAGCACGCATTCAAAATTTATAGTCCGAGATGAATCCGAAATGGAGAGTGAAGCCGAAAGTTGAAAACTGGCCCGGTCACCAGTCAAGCGTGGTCACTTGTATTTGGCGCCCTCTGTAGCCACAGTTTTCTTGCGCAGTTACTGTGCTCAGCTTTTTGCATTGTGCCGTCAACCAGTGTATAAAGCCTCCCACAAGAGTTTATTCATAAACACAGAATATCAGTTATAACCCCTTTTCTCACTCTTGTAATTATGTAAGCCACTAAATCCATGCCCCCTTCCCGTATATTTAAACAGAGACCAAATGGTCCACCGTGGGTGGTTCCCCGTCTACTATTTGGCATCGTGCCCTTTCCAAGACCAACTTGTCCGACTGATTTGCCTGACAATGCCACTTTCCGTGTTTACCTTTGGGCTTTAAAGGGCTTTACTCACTCAGTTTTCTCGTCGAAATGACCTGAGCACAATCCCCCGGCTTATAGGATAGTCGACAAAAGAGCTATCAAACACCCTGGTGGGGCTTTCAAAAATTGAATAATTAGCCTTCCTCCGCTTTATGGAGGCCCTAGCAAGTTTGCAACACTGAGAATAATTGGAAATCTCCAACAAAAGGTTTTTGGGCTGCGAATGGGGCTCATAATCTGTGACATGCACTTGGCGAAGTTACGGTTTGTGAATGTGAGCAGACCGAAGGAATAAACCCATGGGCGTTGCCAAGAGTTTTCTGGAATAGAAAAAATCAACTCTAAGAAGCTGACAAACCATTTAGGACGGAAGTCAACTCTGAGAAATCTACAAGCAAATTGGTGATCTTCATCAACTTTCCTCTTTTCCACTCTTCTTTCGCGTTTTCTTTACTTTTCTCCTTTTCTAAATTTAATGTTTCCCCCGAAGGAAGATGGGGGAGGTAAGCGCCCTCTCCTTCCCCCTTCCCTGCATGTCAGCGCTCAAAGCCCGCCGGATTCTCTCCTTGCACTGATTTGTCTGACTAATAATCAGACAAATCAAAAGATATCAAACAATCTTCTCACTCCTGAATATTGCCACGGGTAAGAAAAAGCATTACCGTACCTTTCACGTAGGGTGCTCTTTTGGTTAGATGACACTGTTTTATAGCTATCGAAGGTCCTCAAATTCAACGTGGGTTCTACCCTTACCTGTTCAATTTGCCATTGGGCCCTTCTTAATATTAATGGCTGTGATATTCGGATGAATTTGTTCTACAGACACAATCCTCGTTGAGGATTGAGGTTCTGGCAATAATAACAAGTATAGCTGCCTAGGTGTTCTGAAAAAGGACCCATCCGCTGCAATAGATGCCGCAATTTTTCATGTCAAAATCTTGATAAAATGTGTGCCAAATATTACGCGCACTGCAATATACGCAATGTCTGAAAATCATGAATCGGAAACTATATTGGAAGATAAATTGGCGCACTATTGACATGAAATCTTCGGGGCAGAAAGCGGGATGCCTGTTTAATGTTAATGAAGCACGTGCACATGTTTAATTTAAGGAGAATAGCGGTGTCTTGTGTGCCAACGCCATTTTACTCATTAACCCCACGATGCATGATGTCGAGCCGCACGATGAGTCCCTCGTCCCTGCTCAGGGTATAGCTATTGAGAGAGCTATTGCCATGAACACGGGGATACTGCGGGACAATAATTGTCTCTTCATATGCGCGGCGGCTTGGCGACAGTTTTCAATCTCGGCTCGGTCTTCCTCTTCTCCTCCTTTGTCCCCGTATTTCACGGCTTCTTGGGCAAATCACCCGTCCTCTCATCCATCCCGACACTGTGGGGCATTGTGAGTGGGAGTGGGTACGGCGGGGGTGTTGAACCGGGTGGCAATTGGAGTCACTTCCCTGCTATAGTTAACATTCTGGAGTGCCTGGTTGGGGTGTTACACATGTACAATTGGTCCAGCTGAGTGGGCAAGCACTGAAGAGCCAAAGGAGGATGTCATGTCGGGTGATGTTGACGATCAGCCGTCCAGGCCTGATATGATATCTTCGCGTAGTCACGCCTCCCGGCTGTTTACTGTCAATGCCTGGTGAGCATAATCACACACGCACAGTACACCATTTCTTTTGTAGTGGCCCACAGAGTAGGGCTCATGACGTGGACTGCTTGTTCGAAACAGGAAAGGCTGACCGTGAGAAAAGGGTGTGACGGTCCCCGGAGCTTCTCGCCTACGACTGCTGACCTGCCCTCCACGGTTATCTTTGATCTGTCGGTAATTTCCGGTGGTCTCAGCGCCTAGCGGGACACAGGTACAAGATTTCAGCCTATATCCTTTTGACGGACTTAACTCTTGATCCAGTTGTAGTAATGTTCCAAATCTCCTGCATTCTACGCTCCTTCGGCTCGCCTACATGACTACTGTTCATGGTGTACATCACCTGCTGGTCGAATAAGCTTCTTACGGACCTGGGAACCTGGCAAGGACGGGGAACACTTAGAGTGGGAGTAATGTGCATGCTGACGGCTAACACTCCAGTGAGGCGACTCGTCCATGTGCAACTTTCTTCGTGTCTCTAAGTTGGTCGTAGTGACGTGAGGGATTGGCTCAACTATTCTAAAAACACATCCAAATTTCAGGGAAAAATCAGTGATCAAACGAGAGCATTAGGCACCGGAGTCTTTTCCTCGGCCTTCTGTTTCTAGAGGCATGGAAATGTATAGGTATGGGGAAATATAAGAGGATGATCATCAGGAAATGCAGGAATCTTGTGACAAAGATCTAGCATCGATGATCACATATGGGAGTCTTAGGACTGAAGGTCTTTCTGGCAACGAGAGAAACCGCATGCCCAACAAGAAAACTTGACGGTACAGTCATCACCGAAGGTCTCAGATAATATGCCCTAATCACTCTTGTCCGCCGAGAAAAGATCCAGTGTATCCGCTTCCGTAAACAGGGGTGCCAATGCAGTTGTGATATACCCTGCTTCAACCACATAGGCTCATTTTTATATCCACTTTATCTGCCATCCACGGAGAAATCTTGGTAAAAAGTTTTGTACGTTGTCGATCTGCGAAGATGTCCTCTTATCCAGTTAGGTCCCCCGGGTTCCGGACGTCATGGACGCGGATGTCACCAAGCCCAAGGCAAACAGGTAAGTGGGAATAAAACTCTATATCTTATCAATTTGACTGCAAATGTAGACATCTGTTATACTCTAAACATCTGATGCAC